CATGGTGGTTTTGGAAGAAATTCCTCTACCAGTTCGAAGAACTGGAGCGCCACGGTGTCCCAGAACTCCTTGAGGAATACTCCCTGGATCATCGTGCCTCGCTCATGTTTAATGATTTGTAGGATGGTTCAATAGTTTAAGTCTGTATTGGTCGGACACGTTTTCCATGACAAAACGCCACCATGTTGAATCTGTGTTGACTGTGTTGCTTCCTTTTTCAACCAAGGCAACGTCAACCATGATGCGTGGCACCTGCGTGCTGATGCACCTCGGCTGGGCCACAAAATCCCGGCTTTGCTGTTGCGTCTGCTGGGATGCAAGCGCTTCGACACGCCTTTTGGAGGCGGAAGGTGGTTCGAAGCGTTCATGGAGCACTCGCGACGGGCCAATTTGGACGATGTGGCTGACGCGATGGAGAAAAGTGTTCGGTATCTGTGGCAGACTTTGAAGTACAGCTCTTATGACCACAATGAAATAGATGCCATGATTACGACCAGCGTTCAACTTCACAGCCTCGAGAAGGAGATCTGGAGCAAAGTAGGCTGGGTGGATCATGCAGCAGCGCAGGCTATTTAATTAATTGGCAAGTTTTGCCTGGAATAAGGGTTATCCACCATGTGGGTGTTCATTCAGAACTTGCAAAAAGCAGCGGTCACCCCATGACAAAGTTCCAAAGGTTTGGCAAGGACTATGGTGAAGAACCCTCTAGGGCCTTTTTGAAGGCACGGAATGGATCTAAAACAGATTCCCACCCATAGAGCGTTCAAGATGTGGAGAAAAAAGGCCATCGCAGGAAGTTATGGTCAATTGTTTGTACATGTGTATATGCGCATTATACTGTATACCATCTATGACGTTTGAAGGCACATGCTTTCCTTTTCCGTGGACCTTTGCTTCAGATTCATGTGTTCCTTTCTTTTCGCTAAGGCCGCATTGTTCAAAACTCAGTCTTCCTCAGCCGCCAGCCGCCGCTTGTCACTTTGCATGTTTCTCAAGTCTGAGTCTGAATCTGAGTCTGAGTCTGAGTGTGATTTTTCATCAGCCAGCAAGGCCGGCGACTTAGAACAATTGACTTTTACACCATTATCAAAGAAAGTGGACCGGCCTACGCCAGGTTGAAAAAATCCCTCGCTACTTGTCTTTGTGTTGTCACAGGGCTCAGATGGGCCACGATGTTCAGCAAGTGTATGAATGACCCTGACATCATCACAATAATCATCAATCAAGGGGGCCACTAAGTGGGGGATTTGGTTGAAAAGCATTTACCAGCGCTTAGACATGCACACCACCAGAAAAAACAATGCCAAGACAGGCCAAGACAATCAAAATCAATCAAACATCAGAACAATTCAGAACATATCAGAACAAACTCCACCACTCCATGTGAAGCCGATACGAACCTCGTGATCAGTATGGGTGGATGGTGCCTGGATGAGACTGTCTGACTTGCAATAAGGTACTCCCCAAATCATCACGTGATATCATGTGTGTGTCCCCCAGTTTGTGTTGAGGGACCTTTTCATCACGAAGCGCACTATGGGGCACTGATTGCTCCAGGGAAATGCATCCTCACTCCAACACCCCTCAAGTGGAAAACAAAGACCAGAAATGACCAGAACATACCAGAACCATGTTTCCTTTTGCTACTGGGTTCCTTTTGCAAGCGGTGGAGATCGGTGGAGTGCGGTGGAGTGAACTGGACTGGAGTGGAGTGAAGTGGAGTGGAGTGGCGTGGAGTGGAGTGGTGCGGAGGCCATGTGCTGCACACAGACACTGTATGATACTGTATGATACTGTATGGCTCTCACCCCCCAAGCTCACCGCGACACATGAAAAGAGGACTCTTGGCGCCATAGTCTATCCCTGTTCTCCACCCGAGGTGGTGGCCAGAGCCAGCCCCGGGGGTCCCCAGGTCGGCAAATCCAATCCCCAACCAAGTCCGCCCATGCTACGCGTTAGGGGGGTCCTGACGGATCAGCCGGGTTATTGAAAAATCTCTGACCCGGGGCCAGGCAAGGAATATGACTACTCAAGAACCCTCGTGTCGGTGCTGGGGGGCAAAATTGGCGCCATTAGTGTTCCAGCATCATTTTGGATCCATGCAGTAGCTTTCGCATGGTCCATGCGGAGTGATGCTGGACACGCATGCACATACACATGCTGGACACACATGCACATACACAATGTTTTGGGGACAGTGGTGGAGTGTGGCGGAATGGAGTGGAATGGATTGGAGTGGAGTCCAAGCTCCAAAGTGACGATGATCAAGAGCGAAGATCACGATAGCGGAGTGGGGGTAGAGCATTATTTTATCAGCAAAATATGGCAAACCTGAAGAAACTTTAAACAAATTGGTTTGAGTTGGTGCCAAGGATATTTTCGCTCCATTTCGAATAAATTACTAATAAACAATGATAGAGTGATTCTAGACATCCTGACATATTATAAGGACACTTCAGTTGTTCTTGGATGTTGTGTTTTCGGGTTTTGGGCACCTTACCCCCCCTCCCCCCGCCCTAGGCCATCTTTTAATTCATAATGCAGCATTCAGACTCAACCGTTCAAAATAGTCAGTTACATGAATCACTTATTACCTTCAAATTTAGATTATCTGTCCAAAGCATATTCTCCAAGAGAGACTCGCTTATACATACATGATGCCATTCAGACTTGACGGTCCACAAGACTCACTTAAATTTTTTAATGTGTCCTCAAGTTCAGACTCAACTGTTTAATAATATTATGAATCATAAGTTAAGAAATCGTCTTCTTCCTCCCCTTCTGCTTTAGCATCCAAATCAAAGGTGAATAGGAAAACTGAGAGCATCTTCATCTTTTTCCTCCCCCTCTTCTTTAGTATCAATATCATTAGCGTCAGAAACAAGAAAACTGAGAGTCAAAAAAAAGTGAGAGTCATTTTTGCAAGCCCCTCTGATACACTAGATATTACATGACATTACTAGATCAACTGGTTCCAATTACATTTGAGTGTGGCCTCCCCATCTTCCCAGAAATCTTATGGGACAATCCACATCTTCCGATCTGCCTGCAGAAAAGTGGTGGGTGGCTTGGACGGGCCTAGCACGGCCAAGGGGGAGGTGAACACCCGGATTCCTACTACAAAGGGTGAGGAACGGATCCAACATTCAAGAATCCTGGCTTGGAATTTCTCTGAACTAGCTCCAAAAAGATTGATTTGCAGCAAATTATATACCTTCTATAATCTTCTATAGAATTCTAGATCTCGAGATGTGTTTTTGGGAAGTCCCTCCATGGCTCTGGCTCAAATGCTTACATCAACCAAACCTTCAAAATGTCCGAGGGATCCACGACCTCCGACTGGCGCAAAGGCGACGAAGCAGCCTCAGCAGGCCCCAGCAGAGCACCCTTCAAGTGAATCTAAATGGAGGTCTGCCGCACCAACAGGCCAGGTCTGTGTTGGATTCTGTGGCCCTTCTACCTACTTGTAGGGCTTCCAAGAGCCGAAGCGGAGTAAGCAGCGTCTGGGCAGCCCGACCCTTGTCTCACCGGACTGTCTTCAGGCACCTTATCTTCCACCTTGCAAAACACGTGGCAACATACCAAATGTTCCATTCATCGATGTGTATGAGATTAGGAAGACCCCCCAAAGAGCAGGGACAAATATACCAAAAAAACATTCAACAAGCCATTTGGGCCAGGGGTCTCCCTCTTTCAAAACGCACCCACATGGATTGTCTGGGGTTGAGTAGTTGTGAATGCGCTGGGTGGCCTCCATGAGCACCATGTAGGGTGCCCGAGCTTTGGAAGACAAGACTCGCGCCTGGCGGGCTCTTTAGATCCGGTCTTCACATCTCTGGAACATTGACATCTAAACATAACATGTCTTAGTTAGTCTTGTTGTCTATGTCACCATCCGCAGTCCGCCCAACCCAGAAATGCACCAACACATGCACCGCAAAAAAAGAAACAGAACAGGGGACTGTGTTTCGTGCCGCTTTTTCTGGGCAAAAAAAAGGAAAACGAAACGCGACCCGCCTCGTTCCGGTTCACTCGAAGGATCGACGCCACCGAGTCGCTTCGCTTCCTCGGCGCAAAGACCGCGTTCCGTGGGCGGAGCGGTCCGGGCGACGGACGACCGCCGCGGTGACCCGGGCGGTCCGGGCTTGGAGGCGCCGTGGGGCGCCATCATCTGAGCCGGGACCTGGTGGCCGAGATGGATGGAGATGGACTATTCTGGTAAAGAAAAAAGTTAGCATAACAATATGCATATATACGACATACTTGATAAGCATTGATTGCCGACCCATTGATTGGAACACAAATTGAGAACCATTCCTAGCTCCATGAAGAAAGTTCAGCTTGGTGCTTTGTGAAGACTGCTCTTAGCTTGCGGAGCATCTCTCTGAGCTGTTTGCAGGGGTATCGTCCTTCAAATAGCGGTTGATCTCCTGTCAGCCCAGGCATCGCAATGACAGCTTTAAAAAAGTACTGCAAGGCCAGCCTGTTCGATGAGATGTTGAAGAACGCCTAACCTTATGACAGCCGCAACAGAAGGTCCAATGTATTGTTTGTCTGACCAAATGGAGGAGTGAATCTGGTGTAATAATTTATTCATCCATCCAATCATTCATTCATTCTTACTTCACCGCCTGGTGTTCATTATGACGTACAATATCATAACTAGAACCGCACTTGTCCGCTTCGGGAGACGTGGTCGGCTTTGTGGTTGGCTTTCCATGTCCATGTCCCACAGCGGGGGCGTCATTTGGAGCTCGACCGCTCTTGTCGATCTCGAACTTTCACAATCTCCGTGCCGATGTAATGCAGCCTCCATCCGATGCGGGGCGCGGGCTGGTCAAGGAGCGGGCTTTCAAGAAGTGCATGAATAAGGGCCTCATATAGTAGGGTCTCAAGGGATTTTTACATGCTTTTAGGATGTTTCATGTTTCATATTGCTTTATGGGTACATGGAGAGGTCTCGGATGCTCTTCGGCTGGCTGATGTCAACGGGCCGCGACTTTTGGAACGAGGCAACGAACGCCCAGAGTTTTGGGGCTATGTACAATGTACAAGACATGAGAGTACAGCAATATACAGCATGAAGTCATGCTTTGCTCTTGGCCTTGCCCTTAGTCGAACAGTGTTTCTAGCTGGTGTCAAAGGCAATAATGATGGGTCCGAAACTGTCAAGGTGAAGATTAATTCTTACAGTAACATGTTTGCCACAGTTCGGGTCAATAACGTGGGCACAAGCTGACAAGCTTTATTCCAATCACTGAGATCGGTGCAGCCGTCTTCATCACGTCAGTTAGGAAGCTCCTCATCCAAGCTTCCTCGTTCTCCCCATGATCCACGCCTTCGTCCAACACCTCGGAACTTCCATGGAGTCCAAAGAACAACGTGTGAGATTTATTTGGTGTTTATGAATGGAGTTCCGGGTGGTTAATTACCTGGGAACAAACATGAACAAACACATTCAACCATGTCACAAAAATAATCAAGAATCCAAACACCGTTTGTGGCATTTGATGGGGGGACCAGCAGAAGTTGCACAGCCGCCAATGTTCGAGAACATGTTTGCCAGCTTCGTATCAAAGCAACGATGCGGATGTCTGCTTTGGCATCTTGCAGCCGCTGCCAAGTCGCCTGCCATTTGGATCTACATGCATCGGACGGCACCCCTCGGGCTTTATGAACCCATCAAAAGAGGCAGCACTAAGCTTGTTGAAGACCGGTCTGCAGTTGAATCACTTGGCAAACGACAAGGCTTCTGGGCGACAAGATGCGACAAGGCTGAAGGCTTCAGCCGGTGTCCTTCACCCACTCTTCCCACTTCATGGTGGTGTCATCCAGTCCGTTGTACCTGCGAGTGAGGTGGAACATACGAGGGTCGAACATGCCATGCCTTGTTCCACTGAGGAGGATCATCCGTCCAATAGGCGAATCAATTCGCCTGAACTTTCACACCGAGTTGCACGAAAATTGGGATCTTCTTTGCAAGCCACTCAGGTGTGATTGGTGTACAGGTCAACAAATGGCCCATTGCGCCTTGACATAAGAGATCATCAAAGACACGCAAAGCAACGAGGACATGACATTGCGACGTTGCATCAATCTCTCTTACACAACGTTCATCGATGTACAAGTTGTAGGTTCTGCACGTATGTGACAGTACATGATGACAAAGCCCCCCATTCCCTAAAAGAGAAGTCAAGAGTCAAGACATATATGTGTTAAGTATCTTATCCTGCTCCCATCTGTTCCAAGGTCCAGAACCCGTCCCAAGTGACGCGTCCGTCCTCGAACGCTCCGAACCAAGCGGCCGATCACGCCGCCCAAGTCGCCCTTATAGGTCAAAGCGATGTGCAGGGCAGTTCCACAGCCTTGAGAAGCTCCGCCCAGAAAGACGTTCTTTCCACCCACCTGGGAGGCTGAGATGCGGCACGACCGGGGGGCGAAGCTTCGGGCGAAAGCTCCATGTCAGTGTCCAGCCTTGAAACCTTCTCATTCGGACTACACGTGAGATATGCAAACCATCATTGTGTATCAAACACACCTGCTTCTGCAAAAATCGTCATCTGTCGTCAGCACATTGAGATATGTTTTATTGATTTCTTGACGTACCATTGACCTCCAAGACGCCAAGGCGGCTTCAGCATCGAGCAAGGCGTGTATTCGAGCTGTTGTCTCTTGAAGATCTTCCAAGGACAGCTCGTCCTCGAGGTCGCCCTGCGTGCGGAACCAGCTTTTCAGCGTGTCGCTCCGCGTGTCGCTGCGCTTGTACCGTTGGCGACACTCGATCCACTCCCACTGGTGGCGCCCGATTTCTCTGGAGCTTGGCCAATTCATCACCTCTTTGCACAAACATATAGTTCACTATCCAACTGCGCACTGGCGGGGATCCCACTGCGACGCCAACGGGTCAAAACGCATACCCGCCTCGTGGTCAGTGATGTAATCATGCCAGGCATGTAGGATTTCCCCCTGAAAGCAAGAAAGCAACTAGGGCATGTCTCAAAGGAAGGGAAGCCTGCAACCAATGCAATTTCAATGTTGAGACACACTCAATTCCAGCAGTATGCGCTCCATTCGCCAACTCTGGGCAGTCCTGGTAACATGTAATAGCTCTCTTTGGAGCAGTCGGATACACCACCTGCAAGCTGCAGCAAATGTCTCTGATCATCTCAACTGTCAAATTGCCCCCATGCCAGGCAGTTCCCAAAAGCACAGCAATGCAAATACTGTAGATGCCTTCAAACCAGGGAATGGCTCCATCTCATCCTCCTGCCAATGCCATACAAATATAACAAACCAATACAAGACGCCAAAAGATACATGCCAGCATCCAACCTCATCCTCCTCCTTGCTCTTTGCCTTCCAGCAACCAACGGCTAAGCATACGAAAACTTCGCACATCCCAGTGACACTATTTGCGTAAACCCTTAATCTACCCACCCAAACACTGAATAGCCACCCCACCTTCTTCTTTTTCTTGGGCTTCGGTCGATAAACGAAGTACGGCTCTTTCAAGTAGTCATAACCTGAACAGGTAAATCCTTAGCGCTTGACACCACACATCTCGCAACTCACACATCTCGGCGCTAAACACAAGGCTTGACATCATGGAAGCTTTCCCTATCCGATCCTATCCCAAGCCACCCATGTATATTTACCTACATTGAATCGAACCCTAAAATCACCCCAATTTAGGTGTGCAGGTTTCTATGCCATGCATGGAGTGTCAGGGTATAGTGGATGCACTTCATATAGTGCTTAATATGTCTGCTCTGCATGTCAAATCATCATCATGCGGTCTCACGTGCGGTCCAGGCATCCATGTAAGTAGACCAAGCTTGTGGTGTGACCTCAAGAACGGAAGTACTCACTCAAGAACGAGAAAACTCAAAACAATTAGATCAACATTAGCTAATTGACTGTGCCTCTATGGTAATACTACTGCGGCACCCTCCATGAGCTACTGGCCTGTTTGATCTGTTGCTATTGCTACGCACGGTGACGATCTAAGGAGCACTGAGCTGGCGACTGCCGTGGGGGTACATGATCTGTTCCGTGGCGGCCAAATTGATCCAACCCCTGAGACATCTGGGGGCAGACCGTGACTCCCAATCTGTGCAAATACCCAAGTTCTCCAACATAATAAAGCTGATGTTTATATATCCTTGTGCGATTTGTGTGATTGCTGCGGCAGGACAATCCTCCCTTGATCCCTGCCTTTCCAAGCAAGCTTGTAAGGATTGCTCGCCCTTGGCATTCCATGAATCAAAGAACCAGCCACGTGCAGCCACCTGAAGCATGACTCAGTTACCCAGCGTTCATATGACAGAGTTACCAGTGAACATGTTGCATAGACATAGACGAATGTCTATGTCACTGGACCGTATAATGCTGTATACCTTCACCTGACATGCAAGAAAGGTCACGAACCTCCATGGATGCCACCATTCGTTGCGCGAACTCCTGGATGAGCCTTGGCACAGCCGCTACTTGGCACATCTTGGCACCATCCACATGTTGTAGGTCTTTTGATCCGTGCTTTGCACTCAATAGTTGCACCATCCAGGTTGCACCGCCCACCTTGTTCGTTGAGCCCTAGAGAGGCCTAGGACCTAATTGGCTTGTTTGGCATGTTGCATTCGTTCAAAAAAACCGACCAAAACAACGTGTCGATCTCATGCAGCGTTGCCATTTCCCTCGCTGAGCCTATTGAAAAGCAAAACACCTCCACAACGGTTGACTTCTTCGCACACCTGGTGCTCCGATCCAATTGGAATCCAATGGTCTCAATTTCTTTGGCACCTGGAGGGAGCTTCGGCAGCGGACCTCAGCACGACAGCACGACGTGACTTCGATTTTCAGAAACGTCTAGGGCCCCTCCCAAGTTGAAGCACACCTCTGCCTTTGGCAGAAAGAAAGACATGGATGCCAACAACTTAGATTGCTGAACACTGAACTCCTGGATTTGACCAATGATGCAAACACATTCAGTGTGAACCCCATGTTTCCCCTTTTTTCCATCACACGTCGAAGTAGCTATGAGTAGCAAAGCCTATGTTGCTCGGTTTGTAGCGTCTGAAATCCTCTTGAGTCTAAGAAGCTTGGAATCGTCAAGCTCCAGCTGCTGACGAGGTCCAAATGTTTGTGCTCCTTGGTATATTAATGGCAAGCCAAATGTAGAAGGATTCCAAAATGCTGGAGCTCGCCTACCTGGGCATGATCCTGCACGCAAATGACACTTTCCCGCTTGCTTTCTGAGATGTGCGGGAGACTCTGAACACCTAGAAAGTGTATATCAATGTGCGAAAACTCGTTTGTACGGGTCCAAGGAGCTTCAGACAGTGCCGAAGCCGCATCCAGAATCACTTGCGGCGACTCTGGCTTGTCCTTGGCTCTAGCTCGATCTCTCTCTCTCTCTCTGTATATATATATATATATGTATCACTACATAAAAATAACCATGCCCGGGCCGGTCAATTCTTGGATCTCATAGAGCCAGCTTCACATTACAGGATGAGGAATGGACACTTCGGCCAAAAAAATGGAGAAGCACTCTAATTTATTAAAATCACATGCATTCATATATATATATATATTATATATGCCAAACAGCAAAGATCCATGATTGGCGTTCACACTTATATATCTAATATGCTCTGACATTGTCCAAGGGAGCACAAACAGTACAAGGCCAGCAACCAGCAGCATCTACTAACATCTTGCGCACACCCAGGCTGCCCTTCTCTTGCAGCTTCCACAATCTTTCCCACCGTCACTTGCGAACCAAGCTTCCGGAAGTTGTACATGTGCTGGAGCCTCGTACCGGCACCCCTTTCGGTTGGCATCTTTGAGACTCTCATCCAATCAGCGGGTGGTGGTGAACACGGGGTTTTCAAGGCAGGCAAACTCTAGATTCCAGATATGATGTGCACAACAAGCTACAAGCTAATGGGCCTAACTAAGCACAATTAAGCCTTTTAATGACATCAATTGGCCCAAACTTCAAATCTTTGAACTTCAGTGACATCCACACCCGCTCTCAGTGTTTTTGGCAGCTCGGAGCTCGCTGTCCCACGTTTTGTCCCGTGGGCGGCCAGACAAAGGCCACGGCCTCCATCAGGACGTGGCCATCGGAAATCCACAAGGGGAGCTGGGCCGCTTCCGTGTCCAAATCACCTCGTCTCGGAGAGTGGAAGCGGGAAGGCCCAAAGGACCGCCAGTTTTGGGCGTTGATGAGGGGAAAGGACACAATGCTTAATGTTTGAGATGGTATCCATTGGAAACACACTCAGCTTACCTGTTTCGCTAGAAGAGTGCCTTGGGATTTTGAAGGTCCGACTGAGCAGGATGTCACTTTGTCCCATTTGTGTGGCATGTCGCTTTCAATGATACCCAAAGTCTGTCAAGCAGCATTGCTGCTGAGCCACTCTTATACAACTTCTCTTGACACTCCTCAATCTTTCCCGCAGGCAGCTGCAGGAAGCAGGCACACCGGTCCTGTTGGAGAAGTCCCACAGATAAGATACAAATAAAGACCAAGCTTCTCACATTGACCTCCCTATCGCATGCTTGGTCTGCTCAAAAGCCAATTGCCCTGGACCCCAAACTCTCCGTTTGCCATTTGCCATTCAGAGCCCGCCATGCAAAACAATCAAGAATGTTCCGAACTTTTGGACTGTCTTGACGCTCCAAACATGAAGCCATACCCCAACCTTGCTGCAACAGACTCGTTGAACGACCCTTCACCACGCTGCGGGGGCCCGCGCGGGTCCCTGCCTGTGTGAGCCCACCTTGCCGCAGGGCACTCACCAAACCAGCCGCACGGAAGGTATCTTGGATTCGGGGCAAAGCTACACCCCTCACCTGGCCGCACGTCTGCGGTTCCACGTGAAGCTCCATGGAACATCTGATGCAAAGGATCTCTCTTGGACAAAGGGGTACAGTGGCTTCAGAGTAGATGGCACCACCAGAAAATGTCTTTTAGATGGGGGTCCGGGGTCCATATAAACCACCTTCTGGGGATTGGGCCTTTTAATCTGAAACTACTGTAGTGGTCACCGGATGTGTGTTGATGTCCCCAACACATCCCTCTGCTTGGACGTTGCGATACTCCGAAAAGGGTATTGGTGGCTCGACCCTGCCGCATGCGTGAAAACGTGATCTGCAGCGCGAGCGACGCACTTCATGGGATGCACAGACCGTGATAAAGCACGGAGCCAATCTTCATAGGCCTTTCCTGCGACATGAACCATTGGAAAATCCCGACACATCTAGTGACCAACATTCTCTCTTTCTGTCTGTCTTTCTTTCTGTGCGCGAAGTATCCGCTGGGCCTAGGGCCTATAGGCCTAGGCTGTTTGAAGTTTGCTGCAGGAACATGGTCTACAAAACTCGTGTCGCACATACAGGGTACCGGGTATCTGAATGCATCTGTCTGGATCCTTGCACTTTGGGGGGCGTGGCAGAAATGGATGGTCCGCACTGGAGCCTGAACTGAATGCCTATGAATGACTCCACAACAACCAATAACCCTTTGGTATATGCTTAGCTGAGCTACCGAGCAAGATGTTAAGGTGGGTTGAGTGTCCTGGAACTGCCGGCAGTTCCAGAATGACTCGCAGATTCAGAGCTTCTGCTTTGAGCAGGAAGTCGCCCGCGGTGCTGTCGACGGCATCGCTACAGCCAGACCAGTCTGGAAGGACTAGTCGAACTGAGTTCAAGCCAGCATCCTCAGTGACGTGATAGCAAAGCAGTCGCTGCTGAGTTTCAAAACTGAGTGTTCAGTGTTCACTTAGATCGTAGTGGTGCCGTTCAACCATCAGGAGTCTTCCGTTTGGGCAAAGAACATCCTCCCTCCTTAACGGTCCAAGTGTCGCCCCAGGTCCCTGGAACGCGGGAGATCGTCTCAAGGGCAGGGACACCTTCGGACTCGGAAGCTAAGGAGCAACGAACACCCCGACATGGCTCATCAGAGTGAAAGAGGTTGTGAAAAGCCTCCAGCAGATGTCGCATGTCCTCCACAGGGTCATCCGAAGAACCTGGATAATCTTCACCAAAGCGATCTTCCTCGTCTTCCTCATCTTCCTCTTCATCATCTCCATCCTCGCCTTCTTCCTCTTCTTCCTCATGCTCCTCCTCTTCCTCCCCTTCTTCATTGGAATCATCAATGTTTGCAACTGTGTTGGCTGCATGCCAGCCGGCAGCCCACACCACCTCCACAATGCGCTCAACCAACACATGGGCCAGTGTGCCATGCAAGTTACTTAGAGTGCTCCGAGCTGACTCAAACTCCTTATAAGGCTCTTCTGCTGGCTTCTGAAGCTCCACAGTGCTTTTCCCATCCTTCTCCTTGTAGATGCGCATGGCAGCGCAATGCTTGGCGGCCGCACGTGTCAAGCTTCTCACATTCTCCACCACGTCTCGACCACGTTGGCCACCTCGGGGCCCACTAGCCCAGGGCATGGCCAGGACATTCCAAGTTTCTCGCGCCTCCTTAGCCAAGCTTTGGTGGCTTTCTCGGCGTTCCTCATGGCCTTCTGGAAGGGCCGCCAGGGCTGCAAACCAAGACTCATGCCAACCCAAGCGCAAGAGTGCATGTGCCACTTCAAAGGGCATATGCCCCAAGGCTCCTTCCTCATCCTCGACAAAGATCTCATGGATCTTGGGAGCTGTTGTCATGGCGATGCCCCGCTAACCACACACAAATTGTTTGAGAATTATGTTGGTGCCGATGAACACTGATCCTTGACAACATCTAGCAATGTGCCATTCCTTCTGACTTCTCATTATTACCTCGAATTGGCCCAGTCACTCTTGGCTTGGAATGACACACTTTGAAATCAGCAATGTAATTAGCATAATTGTAGCTATGGTATACAGCTCACAAAGTCCCAGTAAAGGCCTTTTGGCAAACAGCAGTGCGGCTCTTGCTTGGCTCAGTTCGGTCAAAGGCTGAGGAATACAAGACGTCAAAAACTCGCCAAAGCCGACAAAACTCGCTCAGCACTCCCTGCTGTCTGGTCTGGTTGCAAACGAAAGTGGTGTCTGCTTGTACAAAGGCTTTAGCGGATGTTTCCCTCTTTCCTGTGGAGCTTTTAGAAACTATACCAATGGACCATGACAGCTAAGAGGCAACCAATGACAAAGCACAAGAAGAAAGCTCTCTTAAAGCGATGCCTTTCACAAACATCGACCAGCGGGCTGACCTCAGCTTCAACTGAACAAAACGCGTCAAGCTGCCTACATCTTCTCTCACACTACGTTGGGCAAAGACCCCTTCTTCAAGTTCTCCAACCAACCGGATTCGTGGAGCAATTCAAAGCTTCCTGAGGAACAGTGCAAAGCGCGAAGCCTTCTGAGTGCAGTTCCTTGTTGGGGTCAGACTTTGGCACCTGGCACAGCAAAATGACAGCAACAATGGCTCCCACTGTCAAACATCGGAGAAGGGCTTTAAAGGGAAACAGGGGTAACGATGTGTTATTGTCACCTGAAGAGATAAAAACCTCAACAAAGAGGTTGCCTCTGTGTCGTGCCACTGGCCAGATCTCCGAGCAGCCAATCAGTCAGACCAACAAAGTCAGCAAAACCACCACCGGCCAGTTTCAAACGTGAACTAAACCTCCACCTTACAAATTCAATCCTCATTTGTCGGGGAACTTGGTCGTCGTCATTGCCTGTAATGCAATGACTAGGTGCCGATTCTATGGCCATATAATTGTTGGCAACACCAACTATACAACTTCCGCATTCAAATTGAACAATAACAACCAGATATTGAAATGAAACCGCATTCAAAAAGCCAATCCACAAGCTACATCAACCAACTGACCGCGGGGTTTCGCTTTCTGAAACCGACGGAGTCCCTCGCCTCGGGGAGTCGCTCGCCCTTCCGGACCGCCTCATTGGCCTGCTTTGAGGAACCGTAGAGACGAACCGAAGAGTTGCTATGCTGAAACATGGATCTACCAGGACCGAAACCGTTCGTCCGGTGGGTTTTGGGACACCCCGAGTTCTGGCTCTAAGAGGCTGTGTGTATACACACCTCTTGGAAGGTCCTGGTATAAATATACATTGTTGTAGGCGACTGGTGAGAAGCGTCAGTCGAAAATAAACATTGACAAAGCATGACAACGCATCTATTTTAACGCTCAATCATGGTCACCAGCAGGGTGTCCTGTTGTGGGTGGTGAAAGCAATGAATATGTTTTCTTTCATGCTTGATCGGATATGTGAACGTTGTAAACACACGTAGACACCAACAAGTCTCCTCCCGAGTTCTGGATCTAGTCGCTGGTGCATCCAATTTGGAAGTGGACATGGTGGACTTTGGAAACTGTAAAGAACAAATCATCCAACACGGTCCAACACCTTTAGTCAAGCAGTTGCAAATAGCTTGGTCCAAACCAGGGAGCCAGCTTTCAGTTCAGAAGCGGAACAAAAACTCTGAGCCAGGCAGTATCTGAAATCAAACCTCTATGCAACTGTTTGATACTTTTAAGTTGCTTCCTCTGCATTTTGCACAAAACAAGATCTCCCCGCACAAGCACCAAGGATCCAAGCTTCTGAAAATCCCACTTGCGAGCGCAAGTGAAATGTGTCAAACAGGATACCAAAGGGAACATTTTTGGGTAAGAACCCTTGTACAACGGTCCGAGAGGCAATTATTGAATTTTTGTTTACTCAAGCCAATATGTATGATATTTGATGTGTATATATTATATATATACACTGGACAGGGAATTATTCAGCAGGAAAAAGGGATATCAACCCTGCCTCCTTGAGATGCCGAAGCGTGAGCTTGAGCTGTGCCTGGAGAATATCTGCACAATTTGGAATCTATGAAAGACTCTTTGCAACCTGAACATGCATCAGCTTGGATCCAATTTCAGCTAATGTGAACAAGATGAAGGAACCCCCCGATTAGTTTGGCCCAACTTCTTCGCCAAAAGAATTTGCAAGACTAATCGCCTCTCTTCCCTTGCTTCACCCCCCTTTATTTTCACCAATCCCTCATCCCATGGTCCTATTGCTTATTCAATTATCTCATGACGGGAAAATTGAACTTTGAAATCTCTCCTCATGAAGAGATGTATTTTTGAGATCCCTCATCCACACTAGGTTGTTCCACATTGTTTGGTTCCCAAACGGGGATTATCAAGCATCTTTCGCCATATGATCTATCCTCCTTTTGGCCCATCACCATCCGCCGAGTCAACGACCCTACCCGACGCGACCGACTCGACCCGACCGCCTTGGAGCAAATGGTGCCTTGCACTGCATGCATCCGTCGCTTGGCGTCCGTCTGCACTGCTACCTTCGCCTGTGGGGGGGGGGGTCGGTTTCGAGTTTCGGTGGACCCAACACGGCCGTCCCAAATAGGGTGTAGTATGGTGTACGTATGGTTGATGCCAACTGTTCTTGGTTGGTTTGTTATGGTTTGTTGCTTGCTGAGCACTGATGTGCAATGCGAGAGATAAGTCACTCTATCTGTAGTGATAAGATTTGTGACACATAATATATCTTGTGACGCGCCTCCTCTTCAATTTTGCTCACGGCTGTGGGTCAAACCCCCAAACACCAAAATCGCTTGCAAATCACATTGGGCTTCAATAATCTTCAATGCAATCCTCAAAGACGACAAGCTGCCTCCACCAAAGAAAGCCTTTTTTCCCAGGAAACTTACTGCCCAGCTATTGGGTAGTTGCAAAAACAATCTGGAAGGGAACCAGCTCACGTCAGATTTGATGAGTTATGTTGGGTGACTAACTTCAGTTCCCAGCTCTCAAACATCTCTGAAGGACACACAAATGCGTGTGAGCTTCATCACATTTGCGCGATTTGCGGAGAACCTATTCCCAACACCTTGCCTGCGGAGAAGATTCCACTGCTCTCAGCGCCCAAAAGAAGAGATGCCCGAAGGCAACATCGTTTTTGACCTCAAACAGATTGATTTCACCCAATTGATCTTTCATCAGCAAAGTAAAGTAGCTAAGTAGCCCGAACATTCGTCAAATTTCACCGACCACTTTCTGTGAGGGCACTTGCTGCTTCCCATGATATGCTTGCAAAGGTTTCCCACAACACGGGGAGTCCACTCCACTCTACGGTCCAAGACTGGAGAGATCTCTGCTTTTGGTGCCCCTTGGACCTTGGAACTCCCGAGGAAACACCCCAAACTGGTCCAGGGGAGGAAACAAAACCACCCAAGTCTTGACTTGATGACCCGAAATCATGGGACTCAGCTTCTGCAGCACCTCACCTCACGCAGAAACACCCAGATGCGACCCTCAGAGAGATTCCCAAACATCATGCAATGCTTGCTACCGCGAATGAATGGCTTTCGTACCGCAGCCTGGTCTGCAGCCATTATACTGTATTTCAATTGACACCTTCGTTAAACTCCAGTATCAGTACCAATCTGAAGGAGCTGGGAAGGTTGTGACAAAAGCACATAAAAGCGCACTTTGACGGCAAACCTGAAGTCCCGCAATCACCTGGCATGATTCCGCACCTGCTTTGACCAGGTCAACCAACCGTTGTCCCTTTCACCCAATGGTAGCTGGTTGTTCCATCACGTCGTTGCAGCACAAAACCAATTTCGACCTTCTTTCAATCAATCTCCCTTCGGTTGGGAAAGTCTACACTCTAACATACTCTAACACACCACAACTCCTAGATTCTTCCTTGGAGTAGAGTTAACAATGTTAAACCAACTTATATACTAGCCTTTCACTGGACCGTAGGGGTGCCTCCCCATTGCTTGGACGACAATCTCTTGCTTTGGAGCTCGATGCCAAGGTGCCGCGTCGAGGACAAAATTCTCCCAAAGCAGCTTTCGGCACTCCTGTTTTCGGCGAAGTCGAGAGCAAAGATCTTTCACCACGTTTGGTTGTCATGCTTTTGTTTTTCTGCCACAAGGAGGCACCAAAGAACCAGCATGCTGCGGCATGCTTTTCGGTCGCCGTCATGACCACCCATGCCGATAGATTTGAGATGATTTGAGTTAAGTTCAAACTTCGGTGAGTCAAAAAGGTCCATTCTGAGAACCCCGGAATCCACCCCGGAAGCGCAGTCCATGCAAGGAGCATGCAGAATCACATTGATGATTGGGACCACGAAGTCCAATAACTCAGCAACCAGGTCGTGTTGTGCTTCTGATTTCTCGGCATGTAAAGGGCAGCCAGGCTGCGGTTTTGGTGTTCATTCACCGTACCAAAACAAACATCCCAAGGACTCCATGGTCCATCTTCTAAGTTTAAGCTCTGCCGGCTTATGCTTCAAAAGCTGTCCCGGACTGAGACCATCGCAGTATCGTCCTGAGCAGCCTTGCTGTGACGTGAGCATATTAAATATGCTGTCACGTGGTACACTTTACACTTCCAAAACAGATTTCAAACAATGATAAACAAACCAGCACAAAGTCTGATGAAAAGGTAATGCTGGCAGTACAAACAGCAGCTAGACACAACATGATACAACATAGCCGCTGAGACGGAGAAATGCAAACAACATCAAACAGCCCTCAGGCATGGACTTTCAAAGACTTCAGGGCGGCAACGCATCGCATTGCTGTTGCCTGCGAGAAAGAATTAGGTGTTCATGTGTGGCCCGGAGCCAACGGTTTTGACAATGCTGCATGCTTGAGTAAGTTGAAGCATCAGTCCAAATGGAAATATCTGAGAGTGTGAGGTTCCATCTATGTGTGTGTGTGTGGATCTACTGGTACTCATGCCTTACCTAGGTAAATTTTATTGCCCTTACCGCTTACCATTTTCTGCCGGGCGATCCAGGATGATCAAGGCTGATGAAAAGCCTGTACGCCACCGGGCAAACGGAGGTGGCCGCTGACGTCCTGTCGTACGACGGCAGAGAGACTCAGTTGATTCTGCATCCTTCGTAGCAGGGAATGCACTGTTCATAGCATAACTTACATGAACTTACTGTTATTAAATCTACTCCGCATATCCTCAATATACTTCGCTCAGGAAATCTTTGTGCTGCTTTGATGCCATCCCCACCCGATGCTCCTGATGAGTCTGTGGATCTACCCAGAGTAATTCCACCAAAGCTTCGACAGCCTTCACGGTCGAAGCCACTCATCCGAAAAGCGACTGAGCGACTGTTCCTTCGAACATGTGGCAATGAATTCGAATACAATCCAAAAAATAGCTGACTGAGCAAGATGATGGATCATAGCAAAACAGGATCAGTTTCCCTCTGCAAGCACCAACAGAAAAGCTCTGGTGAGACTTGGTCAGAAGCTGCTCCGGCTGTACCTTGGCTTCTTGGTCCAATTGCCTCCCTTGCTGAAATCGCACCTTGGCTCGTTCGCCGAGCGATTCCGGCGACGGCGGTGGATCGGTGCTCGTGAAATCGACGGCCAAGGGGCTCGGAAGTGGAAGGGCAGGGCGCTGCCATTGTCCTACCAGGCGTACCAAACCCGCAAAGAAACCCAGCGTACCGTGTGAGGCAAGCGTACCATGTGATCAAGCTGCCGGACATGCTTCTTGGCATTGTTTGATCCAAGATCCTTCACTACCCAAGTTAATACAATGCACTCGGGACTCCGGACCAGCTCTCGAACACAATGGCCGTCAATGAACGGGCAAGTGAAGTTCTCACATGAACCATGCTTCTGGATCCTAGTTCACACACCCATGCAACTGGAAGGTCAAGCGGCAAATGACACGGGGCGCCTTTGGAGCTCCAACACACCAGAGCCCACCCTGGAAGCGATCCCGGTCCTGTCAAGGCTGGGCTCAAAAGGGCCGGGACTGACTTGGACTGACTGGAAGATGCCCAAATGGGCTTCGATTTCATCCGAAACAAACGTAGGGACAGAACCCTCACGCACCCCAAACGGAGGGAGTTGGAGCGATATAGGGGTGAGATATAGATGAGATGAAGGAGACATGAACTATAGACTCTAGACTATAACGTAGACCCTTTTCTTCCGGGGGGGCGGATTCATTATTTGTCTGAACGATGGCATTGTAAAGCTGTGCAACCCATAGGAGCCAATCTATTTGGAGATATTTGGAGACAATTAGAATTCTTTCAGCCAAGCCCAGCTATGTTGCACAATCAAGATGTGTCCTTCCACAATAAGTGCTCATCCAAATGCACATAATCTCCTGTGGGACGCTCCTCAGAAACCAACGGCCGAGCTGGATCGAACCAACGGAATACCCTTCGCTTCGCTTCCAACCAGCCGACCAAACCAGCTTCCGTCACACCGCTTCAGCAGACCAGACCGTCGATGGATTCAGTCGGATTCCGGGGGAGGACACGGATTGGGGCGCCGCATTGAGGGACACGGATGAGGGGCCCCAGCAGCTGAGGTTCTGACCACACAGTTTCCCATATATCAAATGATACAGGAGGAAGCCTGGCAAAGGACAGAGTCCAGCTCCGCTCGTACAGGTTCTACATTGGTTATAATGTCTGCTTTTCAAGGTAAAAACTCTTCATATCAGTTAGCCATTCCAGAAATACTCTGGTGCTTCAGAAATGCTGCAAGCCTGCAGGCAGTTTGCCACCGCGAGGCCCCTCACCACAGAACCAATGTCGGCTGATGAAGGCAGCAAAGGAGAGCTCATCTTTGCACGTTTGCTGGCAAAACAGGCTTGAAGAAGAACACACTTCACAACCAAAGCCTTCTCAGCGTAACTACACCTAAGGAGCACACTCCCGAGCAAAAGCAAAGGAAAGGTGTTGTTCTATAATGTTCTATATAAGTTCCTGCTTAAGCGCATCCTGGACTTTCTGAGCACGGCTGTTTTGGACATGGGTCCTGTCCTTGCAACTCCAAACCAACAAATGTCAGCAGCTGGCGGGTCAAACGTTCTTTCCTCTCGCAAGTGCCGTATAAATGATAGGCTTCTGTTTCCGTATATTAAAAAGGATACTGCTGAATGCATCACCACAACCACCGCAAGAGTCACATGCTTTGCTCAACATCATCTTACTTTACATAAGTCATTCATATCTCGGTGAACGCAAAATCGAGTTTTCCAGCTCAGCCGATGAGTCCTTCGCCGCTCAAACTTGTTCAGGTTCGGAGGATTCATGTTGAAATTTGTTATTCTTCAGACAAAAAGAAAACAACTACCATTGGTTCCACTATGTTCCACTTGCTTTCTCGACTATATGGCTCTGCATGAAAAAGGGAGGTGAGACCGGGTAAATGGTGCATGAACAATCCATTGAACAGCAAACACAAGATTCACCATCACTTCATTTGACTTAGCACAACCTTGCACCTTCACATTGGTTTGTGTGATCTATTTGTGTAGGGTGTGTTTGACGTAACCAGCTTGTGCACAAAACAAACACCGGATGGATTTCATAGGACTCCCTAAGCTGCGCAACTCTTTTTTGGAACGGCTGGACGGGGACATGGCCATCCGGTCCGAAATATCTTAGGCAGTTGCATATCGTTTCATGAGTTCTATATTCGTTATACAACTGCTGGCAACCACTACATCGTCACATATCTCTTATGTACTTGAAGCTTGAACAAAGCCTTGCTTAGACAAAAAGTGACAAACACATTCCTACACACGCGTAGTCACAACCCTCTTGTTCTTATTTCCCGACATCCACATTCCCCCGCAAACCGACGGCCGGTGGTTCACTGCTCTCCTGGTGTTCTGGCGTTCGACGAACCACAACATTAGCTGCAGCCGGCAAACGCCCAAGTGTCACCGGGCTCGGCATACCTGCGAGAGATAGCGACATATAGCGACCAAGGAATGCTCTCATCAAAAGGGTCTATGATACATTGGTCTATGAGAGCGAACAGCACAAGTGCACACGTCCGCTTAAGCCGATTCAGCTCAAGATGCTTCACTTGGTTTCAGGTCAAATTCTGGACTTCTGGATGATGCAGACATGAGTTTCGGCTCCAAAAAGGCTACAGAACACTGGGTCTGTCCCAACAGCTCACTGGCGTGGGCGGCCCAAACGGTTGATCTCCTTGGTCTGAGGGTTCACATGGTTGTGAGGGAAGTTCTCCTCACAAGGTTCCAGTATGTTCCAGTGCATCAAGCTTCTGCATTGAACACGATTCACCATACGGGAGACTTCTACTGTTATCTACAAAAATGACTTGGAACATAGAACTTGATCATGGCCTCACCAATCACACAATTGCGCTACAAGCTGTCTGCTCGTAGTAAATATATGTAAATATCCATGTTCCATCACACCTCATAAGAGAATCGATCTCCTTGGGTCGAGTCAGCTCCTTGAAAAAGCCCTTCACCTCCACCGAGCCCGGCCGATCGGACGCAAACCGAACGAGGCGCTCCTCGCCGTACTACTAGCAAGAAGCTACGAACGTTAAACAAATAACATCAAACATACACACACCGCATACGTAGACCATGGTACAAGCGTAGTTTCACTGTGGCAGTGATAGAGTAGTAAAGGTGGTAGACCAGGCCACCCAGTCCCTCTCTTTGTTCTTGCCAGGTCATGGCATGTAATTACAGCTGTATGCCCACGTGGGTGTGGGTCAGAACCCCCATGTGCAATTCACCCAAAAATCTATTGGATCCAATTCATCTACTTGTTGTTTGTGTCCGAGAATTGTTCACCCCCACTTGCCGCGTCAAGCTGGTTGACACGCCACACAAGCTCCAAAAACCACCGGCCTCTGAGAAGGCGCCTTCCGTTACGATGGCCGGGGTCTGATAGAAGTCCAACCAAGCGATGGCCCAGCCATGGGCAATCCGCACAGGCATAGAATTGGAGCCCATGGCCTCACCGAAGCCCGTCCAAAGGACTGGTTTGATGAGATCTACAAATTTTACAGCTGTGGGTCTCATTGGTGGCAACCAGTGGGTGATTGATCTGGGGATAGCCTCTACATGTAAGCAAACCCAGTTTGCATTGAGAACAAATTATAGCCAGAAGCCCAATGGCCAGCCCTCACTACCTGACATGTTCACCCAGTTACAACTCTAAGACTCTATCGCGATCCACACATCCAGTCCACAGAACCCCAGGTTCCTAGGGGGGTCCTATGTTGAAACCAATAACATGTCTTATGCAAGCAATCCCAGGAAGAATAACCGCTACAGTACCCGACCACCTGTCAAATCAACGAGTTTCATGTCGGATGTTGAGGGATGTTGCATCTTGTTTTCTCTGTCACGTCACTGGGATCCCGACTTCCTGATGGCCACCCGGGCAACTACACCGGACCAGTACTCCTTTCCTTGAGATTTGAACGCCTCCAACTACTTGGCACTCAAAATGCAGAGCCAAGAAGAACCTTCCATGCGCTTAACGCTGGTTGAACATGGTCTCCAGCCAATCAATTTGGTCTTATAGGCTGGCAATCTTGCTCCTAGTTGCTGAGTTGCCTGCCACAACTGCAAGTTGCCAAGCACAAGTGACAAGACATCCCTTAGTTCCTTTTTGTCGACAGCGTCTAGTGCTCTGGTGTCTTGCTGCTTTCGCGTCCTCATTGAGGAACGGAGCTCACTTCCTCCCCTCTTAAAGCCATACTGGCCAAACACATGACATGATGACTTGTGACTCAAATCAAGGATCTCCACTAAGACAGTCTAGGACATTCCCCGCAATGAAGTAAGGCCTGTATCATCGTCAACCAAGATACTCTCATGAAAGCCTCTTCGAAGAATAATTAGGCAAAAACAAAGCAGAAAAAAAAACCTACAGTATTGACTTGATCAATGTGGGCTTCCCAATCGCAGGGAAAAAATGAAGGACGTTCTGGGGAGCTCCATGGGCAGTGCCAGGACCTAAAGCATACATCTTGGCCTTGGCACCAACGAGTTGTCGACTGTGCGAGCTGCCGAACGACTAGGGGCTCAAGGGCTGAACGTCATCAAAGACGCCCCGAGGGAAACTTCTGGTGCCGATGTTCTGCATCCGCGGCGCTCATCCACGGCGCAAAAAGCACTGATTCAACGACTTGTTCTCTTAAACAAAGGCCTATGCTTTCAACAGCACTGCCCGTAGTGTCTACATGTGACTACCGAGACACACGCTGAAATTGTTGTTCTCTAGCTTTCTATAGCAACCGTCCTTTGAGCTGTAGCTGGAAGCAAAGCCATCGGCGCAACGGTGTTTGGCGTGTCACAGGAGGGCAGCCCTCCCTGACTCGCGAACGTGGAAGGTCATCTTCACATCATTGTTGGTCTGATGTCTGCTGAGATATCCAAAGACTCTACGTAGTTTCAACATGTTTGGGCAAAGCAGAAAGCATCGAACATGGATCTATACTGAAGCGAATGTAAACTCCAAGCGGACCACAAGCAGGATGCTGTGGCTATGTACAAATGCAGTGGCCTGTGCTGTTTACAGTGGGAGCAAAGAAAGGGCAAGGGTCATCAGCCAGTCGTCGGGTTGACAGGTCACACGGCTAGGCGTGCCAAGCACCACGAGTCATACTATTGTCTGTTGCAATGCAACATAATCATATAGACAATGCATCGTTCTCTCAAGCAATTTCAAGGGAGAGTCGAACAAACCTATGTGTCAACCTCGAACATGGCTGGTGCCCCGGGGAAAGTTGGTTTGGCCTCGAATGCCTTGGCCAATGCTTCAACCTTCCAAAATGACGGATGCCACCGGGCAGGCGTTTGGTCCAACCACGAAAACTGCAGTGTGTTGTTGCGAGATGCGAAAAATCTCTGCCATGCTTCTTTGGGCGACAGGATGCAACGAATGTTCTTTTCTATTGTCTGCTTGTGCTTGCTGCAAGAATCATCCAGCTAGGCTGCTAGATACCAAACATACATAAAAATACCGCAGGACCGCCCTGTTTTGAATATTCCTGAATGGAGTTCCCAACTTTTGACCCGTGGGGAATCAGGTGGTTCCATGTGGCTGGGAAGCTGGTGTTCTATTTGCCACCTTTAGGTTTGTTTGATTCTGTTCAAAATATTTATGACATGGAAACCAAGTCAGTCACTTCAAATACACCCGAAGCCTTGCCCAGGTGGGCCATCCCCTTGCCCGACTGGTGGGGCAAGCATAAGCGGCGACTTGTTCGACTGCACGAGCCTTCTGTTCCACCAAGGAGCAGGGTGGGCCATGAAACACCAGCAATAATAAGGAAGAGGGTGTCTCACGCAGGGGAAACCCTCGTGCAATGGCCTTCAATGCATCTTCCAGAAAAAGATGGAGGGTCTCCCTGGTGATAGACACACCCACAACAGCGTGAATGAAGCTTGAGGGATTCAGCATTTTGGTCTTCGAAAAGAACAGCCCCCACACCTCCCATATTGCCCCCCCGCTCAAGTGTCGGAACTTGGCCCAAAGTGCTGGGCTCCAATCCATCACGTCGAGTGCATTGGATCCCCAACCGAATGTGGAGGTTCTTTTCGACCCTCAACACCTTCGATGACCGGCGCCTTAGACCGATCGGTGCGGCCTTGCACAGCGACTGAGCCTCGGTGCGAACCTCTTTGCTTGGGGGTGTTTTTTTCGCACCGTCGAGCTTCCCCTTGGGGTCTCAAAGCGGGGCAAGTTCTCTACGCAGATTGAACATCATTGATTCAACAGCTGGTGTACACTGGCATGGCATACGGCAGAAAGAATGTACAACGAAAAGCAACACCCGTCGAGAAAAGCCCAGCGAAGAACTGGGCCAGTTGCCACTCTTTGAGTCAAGGTCTCTGAGCCTTCTGAGTGCGATGCCGGGCTGCTCTTCACCGGGCGCCTTTGCGCGCCCCCTCCTTAGTCAAAATGAGACCAAAGCAGCTTGGGGGGTCGGACCTAAGAAACACGGAGGGTGATACACTCGGCTAACGAGGAATATTCATCTACGACGAGTTGCAGGACCGACGAGTTGCAGGTGCGGCTGACGTGCAAAACACCCAACGCTGTTGACCATCACAGGCTAGAGAACATTCGACAAGGAAGCTGCCGGCTCCTGGCTTTGGGCTCCTCTGGGCTCTGGACATTGCGTCGGATACGAAGATCAGGGACAGTCCAGCCTTCCTTAGGTGTGACTTCAAGGCTGCCTTGTGCCAATCGGAAACTACTTCTTTGCCGTTCCATGCTCCATCTGATTGAATGTGTATTATGCATGATATTACTTACAATACTACAATATGTGTTACAATATTGCTACAATTGTACAAATACATCTCTAATAATCTCTATATATATGTAGGATTCTACAGGTATGACTCAATGACATGTCAGTTGATTCAAGTTGTCATCCTTCACCTGCCCCGTTTTCTCATGAAAAGAGTGGGCGCCATACAGTCACACCCGTAACGGTCACACGACAAGATCTGGCCAAGCGACTGTCTTGCAAAAGGTGCGGAACTCGGCATAGACTGAGAGGAGCCTCAAACGATGAACATGAACACGTACAGTATATGCAAATGGAAGTGACCTGCATGTTCAGCAGTGATATCCCAAGCGACCTTAAACTCATATGATTCATATGACATACTTCTTTCAAGTCAGGGGTCTTGACATGGAGTCACCAACTCCCCGCAGACTGTGCCTTGCAAGTTCACTCGTCCAGCATAGCCTCTTACTTTCTGGTTCACTCTGCCGACTGACGTAGAAAGCAATAATGCCATGGCAAATGACCTCCCAAAAGAGTGTTCCTCAAGCTGAATCGCCCAAGTTGGGCGTTCCCATCTCTACCCTTCCACCATCTTCCACCATCTTCCCCACAAAATGCCCTGTCCCCAACACATCCGTTCGCTGCTTCCGTCCCTCCGAAACGCCGAACTCCGTCCGAACTCCGGTCGCCCCGATGGTTCGGCTCCCCGGCAACTCCTCAATGAGACGGATCGCTTGGGAGTGATCCGCTTCGGATGGCCTGCGTCGGTCAATTCCGGCCAAAAGGATGCGCCACAGCCTGTACCGAACGAACGAACCAATCCATCACTTAGATCAGCAGGGGTTAGATCTGTCACCTTTCCCGAATTTAAGTTATATTGCTGGTAGAGCCTCCCCCCCAAAAGTATTGGTACAATATACTGGTACAATAATCTGTAATACAGTGTACTGGTAAAATCCAGTATATATATACTGGAAATACTCAGTTGACATTTGCGAAAACAACTTTCTAAAGAGGTTGCTTGGATCATTTGATCATAATTTGATGATCCAGTGCTCTAGAAACGACGTAAAACAAAAGTGCTCTCAGACCCCCCGCGAGCTGACGCACAGCATCAAAGGATCCGTGGACTCCTGGCAGCTGGACCCTCCTGTCGGGGTGTCCAATGGACTACCCCACACCACCTATAGGCTTCCAGACAGGGCACCCCTTGGAGGGTCCTGGTACATAATAGACAAGCAGCCTAAATTTGGGCTGACAAGAATTATAGATAGCTTCAAGTTTGTGAACTCATAATTGCTCCTGTGCTCCAGTGCATGACATGGATGTATATCAAATAAACTAAAATGGATTAATTACAGTAGTTACATGTTGCTGCAATTTGCTGAACATCCAACTCTCTTTCTTGCAACCGACCATGTGGCAACTAGCGATGCAGGGATGGGCAGATCATGGCAAAGCACTGCTGGACCAACATCTGCCTTCCCTGTGGCGCCTGCTGATAAGGGCCCTCCAAGAACCACGAACCTCTACCGCGAAGCCGCAACCGACATCCTGCAGCAAAAGGCACAAATTAGCGGCTTAAACTGAACGCAATGTTCAACACCGAGTCAATGCTTGGTATAGCCGGCTACAAACATCGGTTTTCCGTGATTCAAAATAACTTAAGGGCTATGATCCACCCATCTTGCTTCGCGCCTGTTTTCGCTGCGATCAACTTCATGTTCGACCTTGGGCCATTCGCGGTGGGGCGTCGTCGGCGGCGAGCGGCGAAGCGTCGCGAAGCGTCGCGAAGCGTCTCAGCACCGCACCCGTTGGGGCCCAGCAAGCGGCGCCCAACCCGGAAAACAGGGTCCTCAAGGCAAATGAGACAAACTGACCAGACATGAAATTGAATCGATTCAGGGGCAACCGTGGTGGAGAACATGAAGAGATGCAACCTGATTTGGTACGAATTGCACAGTCTGCTTAGATCTGCTTAGGCCACTCTGCTTGGTACCTCTTTCAGGAAACTTAAAGAGTTAGCTTGTCATACCGCTGACACCTTCTAACAACTGGCTGGTTTGCGTCCTCTTCGATTCCGATGATGAACTGACACTGCTTCTTCTTTCCATACCTGCGTTGGAGGCTGTTCGCACATCCGGCCAAGTTTCCGATGATCCCCGTTGGAAGCACCCGTGTTGTACTGACTGATACAACAGGTGGTTGAGGATGTAGAGACAACATCGTGCTGCATCATGTCGCACAATCTCTGCAACAGGTTTCGACAGAGCCAAACAATTGCAATAACTTCCAAGGCATGTTCATGGCCACATTAGCCATTACCGAGAAAAACTCACATTCAGTCTGGCTATGTTCTGAAGCTCAACTGCCAGCTACCGACCACCCTCCATGCCCGCACGGTTTCGTGGCACCTATCGAAGCGAGCGTTCCCAACATCCTGCATGGGGCCTTCCTCCGCCTTGCACGCCGCAAACGTAGCCCTTCTGAGCCAGCCCAAACCACGGGTTTCAAAGGGACATCTTTAAACTATTTGATAAATTTGAATGCCATTGGCCCAACTGCCCTGCTTGCTTACCCTAAAAATACTTCGTCCAAGTCCAAACCTCCACATTGATCTAGGCGGTGCAGGATCAATCTGGAAACAACGTTGCGAGCGATTGGTCTCATCTAATCGATAATCATCTGCAAGATCTTGCAAGTACGAAGGTATCTGACCCTGGCCCAGCGTGCGACTGCACCTGCCACGCCTTGACCGAATTGGCCATCTCATGCTCAATGACCTATCGCTTTGACCAAAGCGCGAAGGACTTGGCCCAGAGAGTCACGTATTTCTGACCAGCTGGGGTGTCTAAGACTCGTCAGCTGGTCATTCAGACCACGTATTCACCACGCGTTTCACCACGTCATGAGTCGTGCACGTTGGTCGCCTCGTGATGCCCCACGACATGAGGACGCGTTGAATAGTGGAATCGTGGGACGTTTCAAAGACACTCAGCGCGGCAAAACGTTTAGGCCACATCTGAAAAGAAACCCAAGGGTTGCGAAAACCAACATACACCCTGCAGAGACGAACCTCTGGCCCAAAAGACTACACCTCGCCTCCTTGATTTTTCTAAAGTCCGGGATTCACAAAGACGGTCACTGCCATGTACTAGGTATGATGACAAACCAGTCCCAGACCGTGGAGCTCAGCTGTGGATCGATGCTCCCCACGGCCTCGTCCGTCACGTTGCCAGCAGGCTGCACATCCGCTGCAACGGCATCAGAGTTTGGAGCCTCACCGGGCATCGCAAAACCAAGCAAGACCGAGGGAGACCGAAGAAGCGGGGTGAAGGACGTGCGCCGAAGCAGCGTTCTCGGGCCCTTGGAACTGCCAGCGCCTTGACGCACCATCGCAACCCCCGTCCTGGCACGATTACTGTGGACAGATCAATCAATACACAAATGATTACACTAAGAACTGTGGGATCTTTCCATCTAAACTGGATTAGCAGGGATTAGGTTTTGCAGAATGTTTAACTCTATATATGACTCTCATTGACTCAGTCTAACTGTTGTCGCAAGATGACGTGCAACAGTTAGACTTTGGCCAGTCCCCACCTCTCCGACAGACGACTCAGAGATGGATGAGAGCAGGTTTCAGACCTCCTGGCCCCTGTTACATTGGGCTCTCGCTTGCCCATGAGGAGTTTGGACCAATCTCATCCATCCTCATTCCAAGATCAACACAGGCAGCTAGCCACAACAAGGCAGCTCCAAAGACCCTGAGATGTCAGTGACAGTCCTGAGAACCAAGGGGAAACCTGGTGGATGTGTTTATGTACCCTAGGGATCCAAGTACCTTCTCAGCAGGTGATTGGAGACACCGCTATGTGGGGTTGGAGGGTCCAAGTACCTTCTGAGAAGGTACTTGGATCCCTAGGGGTATTTCCTGATCATTGTTCTTCGACTTCCAATGGCTTCTTCTCAGGCTTCGACTTCCAACGTCCGTTCACGGCGGTTCACTCCCAAAAACCACCGTGGTCGTCACCTTTGGCTCTGGATGCAGAGCTCAGCAAGGTCGTTGGTCCGTCAGACCTCACAATCCGGCAGCGTTCTGCAAGCGTTCAAGCAGCTGCTCAGAAGGCTAAGGATGGAGAATTCATGGAATAATGTTTCTTGTTTTTAAAGGAAACACCTAAACGCCCTTTGATACATTCCAATGAATACATTCACACTATGGACCAGAACTTCGATTCAGCACTGAGCCCGGAACTTCTTCACTCGCCAGTCCTCCTTCTTCCTGGGTCGCTTCCCTATGCCTGGTTCCCTATTGGACCGTGCTGGACCCTGCTCGACCGAACTCACCGGGCCTTTCGCACATCACGGCCTGCCACGGATGGCCACGAGCGGAGGCCCCAAGAAGCCGAGAGAGCCGTGGACCACGAGCGAAGACGGATGTCCGTACCAAGTTGGGATGTCGGTTTCACGTCCGAACCATACATCCCAACTTACAACATGTCACAAGTCCTGAACCTGTGGACTGAGCATGAAAGCTTGCGGATCGTGCGAATGATGATCGTCAGTTATAGGGTTTTGTCGTTCTGTACGTCTTTGGTGTCCTCGTATAGTCTCTGTAAATATACTATATATATACACATGTGCTTCATTGCTATAGCACTGGCAGCTTCTGCTTGACTTTGCCGTTGCTGTGTTATCGCTTCTTTTTGTGAACGTGACCCTCTGAGTTTGAGTGGCTTGAGTCGGATAGCTTTGAGGCAATTGAAGCTCATGACCCCACTATGTACCAGGGGTACTACGCGTTTCAGGAGCTTGACTCCCCTCTTCTACAAATTGGACTCCAGTTCTGCAGAGTTACGCAACTGTTCTTGGATAAAAACATGTCACAGTGGTTGGTTTACATGCACCATGTGACAGAAGCAAGCGCGCTTGCGCGCCGCGCCGCCCCACTTGCCGCGCGCCTCGTCCAAGGGGTCGGTCCCTAGCTTGCTCTCTTCCTGCGGCCGTGATGGAAGAGGGAATCCACTGGAATTCCTGGGGCCCATTTACAGTAAGTTTCTATACTGTGGGTCTATCGTCTATCCTATTACCAGTGACATCCAGTAACAGTGGATGAAAAAACATCATTGTTTACTGACGTTTTCAGGCAATAGGACAAACCCAACATTCTAAACTATAAATATAATGATATATACTACAATGTTCTACATATGTGTCTACATGTTTATATTTTTTCTGCAGGACCCATTCAGGCTACATGCGGTGAAGGAAAGGAAGTAAGAAACACTTGCCGTGAGGACGTACAATAATATAAATCACGTATATATCACCAAGGTCTGTCCACCACCGGCATCACCCCCCATCGCCGGCGGGCTTTTTGGCTTCCTATCGCACGTCACGATGCTGCGAGGGCGGCGAGGGTGGTGGCATGGGTGGCAAAGGAGGTAGTGGAATGTCTGGAACCTCGGAGAAGGGGAACTCGATGGGACTCCCCGGCGAAGGGCTTGAGAGGGTCCTTCGATCAGATCGACTCCCACGACTGGAGCTCAAAGCTCGCCGTGGGGAGTCGACGAAGGGCTCTTCACCCTCTTTACTGGGGAATAACATGGAGCGCAAGATGCTATTCTCATGGGCTAAGGCTTGGATCAAAGCAGTGGTTCGTTCCTCATCCTGAGCATTTGTGGCTTCATGTAGAAGTGCAGTAAGGTGTTCATGTCTGGCTTCCAGTCTCATTTGCTCTTCTTGCAATTCTTGCTGCGCCTGATGTTCCGCTCGTAGGTAGCGCTTGATGGACGTGGCCTGCTTCATCAGCGTGGTGAGCTCAATGGCATCACCCCTCACGCGGAAGAGCTCTTGCAAGGCGAGCTGGAGAGCCCAGTCGTACTCACGCAAATTGCTCTCCATCACCGTGTTTTCACGCACCAGCAAAGGGATCGCCTCTTTAGCAGCTTGAAAGAGAGCTCGCCGCTCCTCTGGCAAGTACTCCTCAGATCTTTGCCGATTGAAGTCTTCACCCAAGGAATCCCAGCAGCTAAGGATCTTCATGTCAAGACTTTCAGACACTTCAGATGGTTCACTCTCTTGTGAGCGCGAGCGCAACAAGGCCACCAACTTTTGCGAAGTCGATGCATCATGCATTGCCAGCTTTTCAAGTCTGCTCAAGTCTGCCAAACAACTGGCCAATAAACTCGAAGTCATATTGGACTCTTGCCAGCTCAAAGTGCGGCAGCACGCCATACACTTTTTAGAACTGCCACCCTGTACATTCTGATCTGCTCTTCAATGGCGATTTGAAAGTCGATTCTATGAATACATTATGTAGCGTGATTTGAGGTTTCGGTTGTCTTGCGAAGTCTTCATGCTCATGTGCTTCATCGTGGTTCTCTGGTGCGTTCAAACAATGAACCAAAATCCAAACGGCCGGGAGGAATGCAGCAAACAAACAGTTCATGCCATAATGTACCAAACAGTCACATTGATGAATCATCTCGTGTTCGTCCGCTGAAAAGACAACCTCAAATTACACACCCTGACAAACTGCTACATCCTAGCCTTGAGTCAGCAGAACATTGGTATACCATGACTATTACTCTTAATATCTCTTAATTGAAGACCTGCATGACCAAATCTCTGAAGCAGCTCCCTCATCCACCCGCGAGCACAACAGAACTCTTCCATGCTCCCCGGAAGATGTGTGCCCACAAAAGTGCGCCAGCCATTCTTCGTCTTCCGTGTCCTGGCTGGGAGAAGGCGGCTTCATGTAGTCCGGGCAGATTGACCTGTTCTCCTCGTCGACCTGGGAAGACCCGCTCCGACTCGAAACTTGGCATTGACATAGGCAAGACCATAACGGCCAGAATGAGAATGGCAGCAAGTGGTGTAGTCTATTCTAGTCTGACATCCAAGTTTGTGGCTTAGAATTCAAAGTTGCTCCGATCGCAATGAGTTCATACTTATGTTTTTTATCATGATAGGAATGTGATCACCCAAAGATCCATGCACACTGCTGGCCGCTGGCCTCATCATAGAGGTCTGCCCACCTAGCCTGCAGGAGAAACAACGGAAAAATAGCACGAGATGCTTAGAGGGTGTGATAAACATATATTGAGCTATGATTCTATGATGAGTTAGGAGTTGGCATTACCAGAAAGTTAGGCTTTACCAAAGGCTCCGTCCTAACTCATGTGTCTCTGTCAACCAGGGGAGTCCTAACTCACCCGTGGGTAGAGTATGCCAGACTGTCCCAGACCCAACAAAAGAACCATCACAAAACACCGAACCATGATCACATTCTCGTGTCGTTGATGCGGCCTTGTGTGGTGTGCTCCTCTTGGCCTCTGCACGTGCCTCGGACATGGCGAGGACGTGGCGACAATGGGCAATGGTGGCGCCTCGTGTCTTTGTCTCTTCATGCCTCTTCTATTCCCTCCAAAGAATGAACACCTGGAATCCACTGGTTCCTTGTGTCTTTTCTCTTGAAACGGGCACGAAATCGAACACTCCGCTCAGAATCTGATTCATGTCGGTCAACTTCAGGGTCAGGGTCCTTCATGTTTGAGAGATGCTGACAGGTTCTTCACCACCGTTCGGAGCCTCCGAGCCCAGCGGCCGAGCCGAGCGGCCGTGCCCACCGCTTCCCCCGTTTGAGCGCCACCGGGCCACGTTTGTAGGTGCACCTTCCAGGGAGATTCCCATTGCCCAGGCCTTGGTGGGCGAACTTGGTGAACTCTGAAGTGCCCTGGAGACTGTTTTGTTCGGAGGGAGGCAAGAACCACAAAGAGAATCGAAACTTGCAGCAAGCCTTCACTGAGTTTAAGTGCTGGGGCCTGGGGCATCTTGTTATATCTTATTCAACAAGTTTCCCTCCGCTAAAGCAGGCCACATCACGCAGAGCTGCAGTTATTTGAATGTATCAAAAGAGAACTGATCGCATCATCCTTTCTCGAACGCCAAGTTGCAAGTCGCAGGTGAGCACCCTAAAGGCAGAACAGCTACAGAACCGAACGCCCCTCAGATTGGAGCCACACCAAGCGTCGTTCGCTCAAACTATGATTCAAATCGCATCAATTCACTGGTGTGGCAGGTGTGGTCTCCAAATCAAAGTTACCTCCAAATTACCTGTGATGCTCCGGTTAAACTGTCGAATGCCAGTGCTCCTTTTCTGCTGTGAAACCTGAAGCCTCGTGAGAAAGTCTCGTCAACACTTTGGTGACGTCTGATCCATTCCGACCATTCTCTCCACTGCCACGCGGACGTTCGTCACACCTGAGTGGAGAACATCCAAGCCGCCAGTACCCTCGGTCGCTCATGCCGCACATGCGGAGGGGCAGGAACCCTGGTACCTTCCCATGTTTAAAGCCCTTGATCATGGTCGTAAATTGAAACAGCCAAGCAGCTGAGCTGAGGAAGCTGCGCCCCCGATCAGGCAGTGGTGAGACCATTTTGCAGGGAGCCAATGACCTGGAGCTGAAGGATCTGATGTGTCAAACATGTGTCCTAGCGGTGAGGCCCCAACATTGATGCAGAATCTGTAAAAAAATGCATCTGTTAAACACATTCTATCTGGTTTTGAAGAGGATTCACTTTCCTGCCTTTTTTGTCCAGTCAGGTGCTGCGTATATCTATTTGTCGTGCTTGAGACTTTCAAACGCATCTCAAGGCCCAAATGTCAACTGATGTCAAAGACAACCCTCATCAGTGCGCCCATCAAACCACCACCCTTAGATGTCCAGTTCTATTCCCACTTGCAACCAGCCAGACTTGTAAACAAATAGAATCATCACGTCGCGCAAAGAGTAGTTTGGAGTTTCTCAGGGTTCCCACTGCGTATCCAATTGTTCACCGTGTTTCACCTCTCGTCTACGGCTGTCTAACTACTGCTCAACCTACCAATGGACAAATACTGAAACTCCTCAAGGCAGTAGAGGGTGCTCACTGAGCATCAAAATACTCATCAAGCCGTTGGCAGCTGAAATAGATGAAACACATCAAACAATTCTTTGGCCAGCTGCCTGTAACCACCCCACCTTTGACCTTCTGTTGAGCCCTTAACTATGCTCCCTACTTGCACAGGATGCACATAATCTATACCTTCCAGAACCAACAAGAAGGCATTCTTTTGCAACAAAAGAAACCTAAACAGCTTATTTTGTTTTAGCCTTCGTCCTGAGACTCCCCAAATCCATTGCGGCCCGACTCGACTCGAGAGCGGCCTGCTGCTGCTCCCGTGCCACGTGCGCTTGTTGCCGCTTCAGGTCGGAGAAGCTGAGGGACCGGGGACGTCCAGGGCGTTTGAGTCTCATGAAACGAACATGAACATTCTGAACCAGAGTTTCAGTGGGAACGCTACGCTTTTTTTGTCCTAGGACCTAGGACTTGAATGGAAAGCAAGTGGCAATTGCGGACTTGCTGCTTATGATACCTATTCTCCAACCAACTAGAGGGATACTTATACTTATTTCCAACAAAAGACATGCCTACGCCAAGGCCTCTGATTCAATAGAATTTCAATATTAAGCACCAAGTCACAATCTGTTGCCCATCACCACCCTCACTCTGGCACAATCTGTGCTCCCTACCCCTTCTCGAGCTTCTTCAGTTTGTCACCATTGTCTTCCATGGTCTTGGATACACCTGCTGGCTGTAGGCTGGCGACAAGCTTTGCTGCGAACTTTGTAACCCAAACATGCCCAAACCCTTTCTGAAAGCCTGCTGCTGCTGCTGCTGCTGATTCACAAATCTGGAAATGTCACTGGACATGGCGTAAGATCCGCAACAACGTACCACAAGACCGTCTTTCCGATTCTTTCCGCATGGCCCTCATGAGTCTTGGAGCACCTGATGGTTCAGGAGTTGGATCTAGATTTTACAACACATGTCTCCCCTCCTGGATGCCCTCTTGCCATGTATGTCCGAGCCCCATCGTGCTGGACATCGCCGTCTCGTACGTAGCACGGGGCGCCTTCGAGTCGTAGCCTGGCCTTGCTGATCAAGGCGGAGATCTGGCCGCGACGTGGTTTTGGTCGGTCGAACGGTCAAGGAGGACGGTCCGGTGACGGTCACCGACCCACATGAGGGACCCAGGGGACGGAGGTTCTCACGGTTTTGGGAGGTGGAGGCGAATCTTCGAACAAGCTTGGCAGCATGGTCTGGCCACTCTGCAACGCAGGCAAGCTCAATGAAAACGGCAACAAACGCCACCTCTTCAGGAACCAACTTGATGAGATATACACAAAGCAGAATACAGGTCCTCCAGCTTTGGACGTTGAAGCAAGGACCTATGCCAAATGCTGGCCTCCTCGTCAATGTCCTTGACCTCAGCAGTGTCCACACAGCTGCTACATAAAGTTTGCACCCTCCACATGCGTCATTGCAAACTTGAGCTTTCAACCACGCTTTTACTGCTGGGAGATGCCTCGGCCGCATGGCATCGCAAGCAAGGCGAGCAGTTCTTTTGCGCTCGCCATGAGATCGCTGGATGTGGACACATCGGTGTTCCGGGACATCCAACGGTCGACTTTCCTGCTGTCGACTTCTGAGATCCCAAGAGGACGAACTCACCTGGGACTCCGGCTTCGCCACGATCCGTGGGGACCTTGACCTCACCGGGACGCGTCAATCACCCAAGCGTATAGCACTCGAGGACAGCATGGCGCAAGCTTATGCACTGGACGTTCTGACCGTTCGGTCTTCAACTGGACGTCAGTAGATCGGATGTTCAGTCAGTAGAGGGATCGATCGAAATGCCACGAGTCGACTCCTGCAAGCCATATTGGTTTCATCTCTGGACTTTCTAATGCACTGAAGTGGCTTCCGGCCCTTTGGCCAGATGGTACCATATGGTACCCGTCAACCAGACCAGGACATTGATGATATTGTGGATGGAGATGTAAACATGACGTGTCAACCTGCGGGTTCCACAGTCTTATTCTTGAGCCTTTGTCAAGGCTCCCTGCCTCCTCCTCATCAGCCATGATGGAGGTGATGTTCACCCCATAAGCTGGATACAGCTGCGGGACACCTTGTTTGCTCAGCCAAAGATATAGAGAGCTGATTCTAGGACATGTGACATGGGTCTCATTGGCCAAAAAGGGGCTGCAAACACTGCAGTCTCTCTGCTTCTTATTCACGCAAGCTCGGTAGCTTGTGCAATTGACATAAGCTGGTAATGTACAGCCCGCCCTGCCACTACGTCTTCAATCGGCTGATATCGAACGTGGCGAGCGATGACCGGTTTGATCTTCGAGGTCATTGGCACAGGGACACAATGTCATGTCCCAACCAAGAGCGGCCTTCCGCAATTTGCTAATTTCTGAATTGATTCATGTGCATGCCTCATTGGACCTCATTGGTAAAGCGTTCTGCCGTTTCAGGATGACCGTTCCCAAGTCAATTCCTATGAAAGATCCAAAAGAACATAACTGAGGCAGCACCCTCAGTGCGTGAAGTGTCTCACACCATTCGTGCGTGAAAAGCTGCTTGCATCATTCGTGCGTTTCGTTGACCGTCTCAATCTTTGAATTCGACACTCATTGAACGCGTGAAGTCCCAAACCTGCCAAGTAACCACATACCGTCAAATGCCAATGTGCGAGACTCGACGCAAGAACACCTTTTCATTCAGAATGGAAGAGGCCAAAGTTCATGGTCGTTCAACAAATGTTCAATCACAAATCGGATCTGAAGCCAACTGCACCTGAAACAGCCAATCCATGTCAGAGAGGCCCGGATTGCATGCTTTGCTGCATGGGGTCAAGCCTCTCCATGCCAGGCATATCAAAGTCGACCTGTCCAGGAAAGGTAGGCAACTACTGCTTTGAGACATCGTACCTACTGTTGAAGGAAGACATGCTACACTACCTGAGATGGATGATATCTGGAGGGCATTGCCCATGCCAGGTGCTCCTTCATCCATCATGAGTAGGAGCCTCCCTTCCCATGTTCATGAGCAGGGCAGCTGCCTGGCGTTGTCCTGTGCCCATGAATCCCACCTGGGCTGAAAAGAAGGATAAACTTCCTAGCTGGAGCAGATTTCCGCAGCTGTGTTATCATGCTGTGCACTGTACATCGATTCTTATCCTTGCATGTTCAACAATCAAGGCGAACATTAACTGATCCTTCAGGGCCCACTTAAGGCTACGCCCTGAGACCCCTGCATGGCAACATGTGAAAAGTTGCATCAAATCTCGTTGTAATCGATGCTTCTTGGTCCTGGTTTCTACCAGGTAGCGCTGCTGGCGATACCTCCTTCCAACGGCTGGGGCCACAGCGTCCGGCTGCATGGGCATGCCCGGCCTGGAGACCGATGTCTTTGGTGTTTGAGAGGACATGAACGCGGAAGAAGACATGCAACGGAGTGCAAAACGCTTGATCCAAACGCCAACTCTGATTTCTGTGCACGCACCTTCTCCGTTGGTCAGTTACATGTTCCAGTCGAACATCCACAAAGCTCTCTCAAACATACCTACCTAGAAAGCCATCTATTGCCTATAGGAAACATACCTACCTAGAAAGCCATCTATAGCCTATAGGACCCCAAAAAGGTGTGCGTGCCAACCACTGCACCCTCCATAACTGGTTTCATCTGTAGGGGAAATCCTTCACAAAGAACCCTTGCGATTGGCGCACGGTCACTGGGCCCCTGGCATTGCCCGGTCACTTTCAATTAAGGCCCGGCTCATGCTCTCCAGCTGCCTGGCGAAACACTCGTTTGGTAGACTTCACCAGGGCAAAATCACTGGCAGGGCGAAACCACCTTGGGGGGGAAGACGTCTGAAATCCGCACCCTGTTAGATCTACTTATTTTATTCCCCAACTGCAAGTGAAGCAAACCGGTGTGGGTCATGTTGCCCCTTCATTCGTGTACTCCGGTCACCCTCGTTGCAATCGCCGATCCCGATGAGTGGGTCAAGGCACCGGGACCCGGACGTCCCAGTCCCACTCCTTGTATTGGGACGGGGATGCCTACGTTGACCCCTGAATCCACTGAATACACCAGTGCCTGGGCGTGCCTGGGCTGCCGTGTATTCACGAAAGAAACACTGTCTTGGAGAGTTGCTGGTCAACAAACCTGCAACTTGTGCACCTTGTGATGCTGCGTTGCAACTTCAAGTGCTTCTGCTCGAGCTCCTGTCAATGAAACTAGCAACTCTTCGGCAAAACAACTGAACACTTCTCCTGCACCACTCTTGTTTAGAGAGGCCCATGATGGCCCATGTTTCATGGATCGTTCCAACTAGTAGCCATTTGATTTGTGACGATTTGTCTGATTCACCTTTTCCACCACCCCGGTGCCGCCAGGACCACTGACCCTTTGTCAGTGATGTCCTCCCGCAAATCAGACTCCAATGACTTCATGCGGCCTGAAGAGCGCCAGCCGCACTCCAGACCGCACGCGCTCGGACAGGCGCTGAACTTGTTCAGCCAATTGGATGACAGGCTACAGGACTCTTTCCAGAGTCTGTTCAGACTGTGTGTCCGTCCCTTCTCCGTCGCTCCTTCTTTCCCATTCGGTATGCCCTTTTTCATTTGGTCTAGACCTGCTTTTGCTTTGAGTTCATTCTCTCAATGCGAAGGCTTCGGCGTATCAGCACGTCTTGCACTCGATGAACCCCTTATACTCTGGATGCGTGTCACACATGTTTCAGTCCATGTCTGGCTTCATGTCCAAATACCTTCAAGACCCGGTGACTCCTTTGTTTTGATGAACAGGACCCGGTGTCTCTTCTGGGCAGGGGACTCACCCTTCCTCGAACCAACACGGTTTCCCTGCCAGAGCTGGTCCTGGTTTGGAAGATGAGGATGAATTCATTGATTTTCCTCCACTCGGGGGGTCATCTAGCAAGTTTCTATCTGTATGATCTTTTCGAGAGACTGTCTTGTCTACGTCAACCTGGACTTCCAAGATACGCTGACCACAGAGCAAATAATTTAGAGCTTGTGATTTTTTTGAGTTATGAAATCCCCCAACGCCCTCCTAAGACATGGTAAATCCCTCCAACAAGCCAGAGGGGGAAACCCACCGATGAACGGTTTAAGCTTTCGCGAAAGGGCACCTTCCAGGCGCTCGGTGGTGCCCGAGAGCTTCATGCGGTCCACGGCCACCGCATCGTTGAGCTTGGAGACCTCGGAGGATGGACCGCGGGAGTCGGGTGCCGAACCTGACGGTCTGAGGTCGAACGTTGGTCAAAGCGGTTGGTCTGTGGACATCCAAGGCACATCCATAGCAGCACTGGAAATGCGCTCCTCTTCCAGTGCAAGCTGAACCAAGCCATCAGGTGCATCATGGATTTCAGGATTTCACACATGGTCTGAATCATGCATGGCATCGAGCTGGCCTATTGATCTCAAACACACTTTACAGTTTACAGGTCTCATGAAACATTGTGTCGCTGTCTCACTCGAAAATCTGAACCAACATGAGCCAACCCCTTTTCACCCGGATCTGCGAGCTCGCCCCGCCACCCAAAGGCAGGTCACCATGTTGAGCCCTGGCTCCTGCAAATGGCCGGTGGTCTTCAACATGGTATCTTCCACCTTGGGCACCACCTGAAGGACCGTGTCCAAGTCTTGAGCCATGAGTTCTGCCTGGCCGACCGGTCCCGCAAGTCGGGAAGACGAAGACGAAAGCGAAAGCGAAGACATCCCGGAGATCACGACGTTGTCTGTATTGTTCCAGTCAAACATACTTATATATAGACTTATATACATCATTATACATCTACATATTATACATAGTATCATAGTATGATATAAATATGGTAACATAAACATAACAAGATCCTACTGTCTTACATTGTCTTACAAAAATCATCAGCAACCCATTTCCACAGGCCTCTCATCCTGCCCTTAGAACAGCTGATCCTGTGCATCTAGGTGCCGTGCCCGCTTCTCGAGGTCTGCAAAGCTAGTTTGGTGCCGCCTGGGTGAAACACCCCAAAGAGAATACGCGGGCCGCAAACAGCTGCGGACAGCAAGCAGTAGCTCTGACGAACAGTTGGCCCCAATGAACCCGGTCACAAACTTGGGAACCAATGAACGCCGTGCATGTCAACGATGGAGACGTGGCGGTGTCCGGGCCGGGTGGCTGCAGGTCCAGCTGCATCTGCTGGATCTGCTGGCTAGACTGGCTGGCCTTCTCTTGCTGCAATTGCAAGTCCTGCAGATCGTCCAAATCACAACGCTTCTTGCAGACCAAGGGATGATTTGTGCCAACAAAGGGCACCCGTGTGATTGCTTCAAAAACAAGAGGCGGTAGCATTGTTGGCAACAATTCTCGAGCAAGTCCGGTATTCCGGATGCAACAATCCAAAATAAAGCCATGGGCCATCTCCTGAAATCGACTTGTCAACGATGCGATCTCCTGCAATCAATCAACAACTAAAGAACATCCTTCTGCTGAATACATAATGTGTGTAGAGACTGTGCGAGTCAGTGGAGAGAATACCTTCCCAACAATGTATGGCCTTCTGGTTGCAACTGCCAGTTCCATGTTCGGGTACACTATACACCACACATCTGAACATCGCCTCTTTCATGGTATCCTTCATCGTCTGTGAGTGCTTGGCCAGCCTGGACAGGTCTTCAACTCGACAACACTTCCCTAGGGGTTACCTGGTAGGCCGGCATTCCGCCCAAGGGAGGAGGGTGCTACTGCTGTGTGTGGTCTGACATGATCAGGAACACTGTTTCCCCGAACGAAGAACATGAAGTGACCTGAAGATTGATGAATGCTCCCAAGGTCTTCTGAAGATAGATTTAAACTATAATGGTCTATATCTCTATACATATATATATACACACCTCAAAAGGCAACCTCCAGACTTCATTCATGTCATATGTTTTTATGGAGGCCAACGGTGGAAAGGATGGCGCAGGTGATTCCATCCATCTGTGCAATCCACATAATCCACTCGGCAGCCGAGGAGCTCTTGTTGGATTTGCAAGGTAAATTGATGTTGCAACTGCTGCTGCAGCTGTTGTGTGACTTGCTGTGGTAGTTGGATTTGCTGAGTTTGTAGCTGTTGACTTTGCTGCGTCATTTGTTGGGAGACTTGCTGGCTCTGTTGAAGTTGCTGCTGGATCTGCGTGGACATCTGGTGCAACTGAGCCGCTTGCTGCTGCATCTTGTGAGATTGCTGCTGGCATTGCTGCGTCTGTTGGGTCAGTTGCTGTGAGTGCTGCTGGATCTGCTGCGCATGTTGCTGCAGCTGTTGAGAGTGCTGTTGCAGTTGCTGCCTCGACAGCGCCGGACATCGGTTCATCGGTCGGCGCAAAGCATCGGTCGCTAACACGACCGAGTTCGGTTTCTCTCCTCTACTATATCGACTACTATCAAAACTTGAAATCACCAATGTCCGTGCTGTCCGTGCTGCGCCAATAGCCAACAGGCTGAAATAAAAATAATGACAACACCGAGTCACGACTGCTGATGCACTTGCTGTCCCTGCTGCTGCTGCCGGAGCCTTGCAAGGATTCTGGTGGAAACGATGTTCTTTGTTGGTTTCTGTTGAGCAAAACCGTGTGGGTTTTCGGCAAATCTGATGGTAATTAGCATGTTTTGTGCCAGGCAGCTGCTGATCATGGCAGTCTCGAACCAGCGCTTTCTCGAATCCTGTCTGGCGCTCATCCAGCCTGGCGCTCATGGTCGGGGCCAAAGACATGGAGGCATGCAGCATGGCAATGAACACCCGTTCCAGCATGGCTCCTCTTTGGATTGGAACGTACGCAAAAATGAAACAAGTGCGGAAAAGAATGATGAAACACAATTCAATGAAACGCGAATCAATCAAAGCAAACTGAGCAAACATGGACGTTTTGGATCACAGCATCACGTCGCATTCTTAGAACGTGAAATTCTCACGACGCGGAGCATCGTCGCCTCCAGAGTTCACCCCGTACGGTTCCACTCAGGAAATCAATCTCTTCCAGAATGGTGTCCGTCAACGTGTTGAACGCCTGCCAGGTGCCCGGGGCCCCCGGGCCCTTGGCAATTGGAAGCCACCGGAATCGAAGATCTCTAGATTTGTCATGAGTCATGTCTCTCTGTGCTTTTAGGATTCCAGCATTGCTACAGTGACAGGGAAGATTCGAAAATGCAACAACATCAAACACAGCTTTTCAATTGGGCTTTTGTGAAAATTGACAACTTGAGATAGCCGTTTACTTTGACAAATTGACAAAAAATAATCAACAAATATATTATATATGGTCTTCAACCACACCCCTGACCTCTTTGAGAGTTCGGACTTGCCCTTGAAGAAACTCGAAGGACCTGCGCCTGGCACTTGATTGATTGGATCTTCATCTTTCAGCCAAGCGGAGGCTTGGAATCGAGCTGCACACGATGCGGCTATGAAAAGAAACCATGGCTGAAAAAAACCGTGATCAATCGCCACTTTTTGGAGATGTACTTGGCTGGTTCTAGAAGCTACATAGGAAGCGTCCGAGGTATCCATTGTCATGCCCCCCTTTTGTATGGTTTGCTCGCAAATCTGGCTGGCCCAACGAGGATTGCTCGAACTCGATATTGGTCACACTCTCCAGGGCCAATTCGTCGTGCAACTGGTTGACACGGCTGGTCATCCTGCAGCTTCTTTTCCAACTACAGGCCGCCACAGGCATGTTTGGGATCTCAATGAGAGTAGATGGTCAAGGGACGTTAGCTGCTCCAAGCGGCTGGTCAGGAGCAAAGACCGACAGGTTGGTACATTCCCTCTCGGCCCTATCATGTAAATCCACTGTTCATGCAGCCAAAGAACTGGAACGAACAGCTGCTGAAGAATTGGTGGGTGATGGACCCATTGGCTTCAAAGTAATCCGGTGTTTCTTCAAACAACTGCAAAAGTAAAGGTCTCAATTGCTTTCACGTGCTTGATATATGTTATGTATATTGTTGACAAACAAACGTAATCTGCACTCCTGGTCCCGCCCATCCTGACATTCTACAGAACACGGATTTGCAGTTGTCCATCCGCAGGCAGTACTGCATCATTATTCCAATTATATTAGTTTGCATCTTAGTAATCAAACCATACCTGGAAAAGCATGTTCAATCTGTTCTCATTTTGGAAATACAGTTACAGTTATAAAGGCTATCCGCTATCCGCCATATTGTTATCGCTTTCAACCCTGGGGCCACATTTGCCTTCCAAACCTCTCCGTCACTCAGGACTCCTGCGCATGATGTTGCCGTAGGCCGCCGGCTTCTTGTCTTTGGCCAAACTCAAGGACCTGTCCCCGTTTGATGTGCACGTCTTCGGAACTGGATGACCACCAACAGCTAACACAGGTCATGCCAATGTACATTGACCATATGCTGAGACTGGGGCGCAGCCATGGTACCTTAAATCTGGCTGGAAACACTAACATTTCAGACAAACACCGTACCCAAATGCAAAACGTTGCTCACAGAAAACAAAAGGAAAATCACTCTGAGAAAATCTGACCATCGCCAAATCAAGTCAAAGCCATCCCCAACCAAAACCATGGTCATTGCCATATCAAACGATGTGGCCATCCCCAACGCCACGCTGCTGCCAAAACTCCAACACTACACGGTCCGTGTCCGAAACCCTCAACCGCTACCTTGAGCCCAAGGTGGCCACCTCAAGTGAGAGAGTTTTCGATGCATCCAACCGGTTGGAAATCGCCAAACAGCGAAGAAATCGCCAATGCCACACCTGTTGCCTGTGATGTTGTCTCTTTGGCCTAGTTCATCCTGCATCAAGTCGTTCAACTGAGCATCACCGTGCCCTAGTGTGTGTCACTAGGCTCCACAGCTTATAAGACTCATGTGCGCATTTCAACATCTTGTTCACCTTTTCTCTCTGTAACCCTTTGATTCCTCAAGTGCACTTGAGGCCCACTGAAACTTGCAGCATTCAGCTGCCAAACGTCTTTCTCTACTCATACTTTCCATTCAGTACCAAAAGCCCCTCTCACCATGGTTTGAACCCTCGACGCCATGGGAAGGTGCAAGCTGTACAGCACCAGAATGCTGATGTGCCATGGTCGACAATTGTTGATTTGTCCACCCAGGTCCACTTTCTGAATTCGGAAGCCATGCATGAGCGGCCGCTGGCCGCCATCTTCCGGCCGCTGTTCGAATCATACCTGTCCCGTTGGCCTCGAAGCAAAGGGACAACTAGAGGCTTTCCGAACAAATCCCTCTTGGAAAAGAATCCATTGCATAGTTTGTCAATCTGGAACAGTTTCAATAAACCCTACAGACTCTAAAGACCAAGAAAGACTCAAAAAGTGTACTAGCTTCAGCCCTAAAATGATGGTGAGGTGAGCCCGTAATTTTGTGTGAGGTGAGCCCGTAATTGTGAGCTTATATATTCTTGTCGTCTCCCATCTATCCACATTGTAGTAAATATATAGAAACGCCCTCTAAAAGCAGGCATTGACACTCGGCCATGGGACCACCTGCTTCGGCTGCACCTGTTGCTGCGTCCATGCCAAACTGTCACTTGCGAATGGCGACAATGGTGTGCTCACACTCCGCATCCCCTGCGCTGCATCACTTGGAGGAGACTGAAGAACCTTCGAGAAGTCCGGGAAGGAGGAAGCCAATGTTTGCACCACCATTGCTCCCTGCTTGGCTCTGGCCAATGCCAATGTGGCTTCATGTCGACCTTCCAGCTTCTGGCGTTTGGATCGAGCCGTGTTAGCTCCTTTGGCGCCCACCGCGGGCGCCGCGCCGCTCGCGGCCGGTCGTGCGCCGGTGGTCACGGGCGGCGCGGGGTTGGCTTGGGCCCGACGGACATCGAAGATGCGAACATCGCCGAGGATCTCCATGACGTCAAAGCCGACCAAATCTTCGTGGATGAGGTGCACCGCCAGGCCTTTGTGACCTGGCAAAGATTGCTCGCATTTCTGAATGTGTCATTCTTTTATAAACACGGTGACACAGTATCAAGAAGTCGATCCTCCATTCTTTCTTAGGGCCCACCTTGTAAATTCAGCAAAAGGCCATCTTGAGGATTCTGTGCTGGAAAACGTCTGTGTAGTAGCAGCTGCCCACTTGGAGCGGCAAAGGCAATACAGCGGACAAAGCCAGTGCCAATCTGCGACCCATTGCCTGCTGAGCTGTTGCAAACATTTCCTCTGACTTACCCTATCATCCTCACTTCTTGATCCAAACATGCTCCAACAAAATGGAGGGTAACTAGATAAATATGTAATATGTGCATTACATTTATTATATATTGGCATCCGACACGTTGCGTTGCAAGCCCCAAAGATGCTATGATTGAGCCGAAGATGTTTCGACAGCCCTCCTTGTTCGAGTCTTTGAACGTCAAAGTGTATGGACACGCCGCGATCGGCTCTAGGGCACAAGCGCAATTTGATGCCTGGAACCGCGCGGACCTTGCTTTGGAGCGCACTTGCCCCTGCTTTGCGCTTCAAGGCAGCTTCGATGGCTCCGGGAAAGGCAGCACCGAAGGATTCGAGCGAGGAAAGTCCAGCATGCTTCAGAGCCTGTGCGCCCACATCCCCAATGTTTGGAAGCTGCCGCACAAGCATGGTCGACGTCTCCCAGATTTGTTTCCTCAAGCCTCAGGTGTCAACACTCAAAGTTTGGTAGCAAAGGTTTGGGTTGACATCAGTGGCAAAGACAAGCACTGTGTCAAAGCAATGCCACAAAGCCTCAACAAAGCATTACTAAGCATGAGGCAGTTTCTCATTGACAAGCAAGCCACAAGAGCTTGTCCTGGAGCCGCGGAAACAGCGTACAAAACAGCGCACACGTTTCCATGCACGGACCGTCTTGCAACAACCTCCTGGAACCTCGGCGGGGCTAGAGGACGAGCCATGCTTCATCAAACAACTGTGTTTGGTCCTTTGGGTATGACCGTGCAAGAACAAACACGACACATCACAAACTGAGGGGTTGGCACAGGATTGGCACATAACAAACTCTCCTTCAAGTATCAGTCACTCCAGGCCTTCTTGACGTGATTCGAACAGCTCTGAAACCACTCGCAAGAGAGGTTCGGCACGACGTAGGACCTAGGAAACCCGGCCAGTGGCACGTTGGTTACGGAGGTCACCGGCCAGCAGTTGCAGGGAGTAAAAGGGGATGATCATCCCCACTTTCACAAATGGATACATCTACAATGAACTGAGCAAGGTTAAGCTGCCAAAATGATTGACAACAATCAAACCAATGCAGCCTTCTTGGGCTCTTGAGCCCAACAGAAACACGCCGATGGGTTCTGAAAGAATACCACATCCTCTGCAACATGGCGCTTGCTCCCTCCGCTTCGTTTGCTGAAGGAATTTAGTATTTACAGTACATGAAATTACTTGGGGCCCTTCATTCTTCAGGTCTTGAACGCACAAAATGTCCAGCCTGGCTCTGCTGCAGTTTCAAGTCCCAGGGCAGCTCTGGGCGGGGTGAGTCAGCCAGCGCCAGCATCACCAGGACCAGGACCTGTCGATCAAAGCGCGTGATGTGGAGCAATTGAAACTGGATGTGGATAAGAGAAAAGAACAGCTGAACTAAAATGGGAGAATCCGATGAAGGACGATTTCTGTCTTCATGCCTGTTTACGGGGTGACCTGGAAAATTGACCATGTTATCGGGACATAATCGGGATCATCGTGGAAAACGTCTGAAGAACTTCTCTGGTGGGCCAAACCATGTGGGAACAAGGGACTATGCTGGTTTATCATGTAAAGTGTAAAGCATGCTGCCCATCCTTGTGAACCAGTGAACCAGAACTGCTCTGTGACGCAGTACGCTCCTGAGTCCAACCCCGATGTCCATGGTGGCTTTACATGGCGTTCACCATGAACAGCAGAAGAAGATTGGACCCTGGCTAGTACCCTGTAAGGGCACATACACACAGGAACAACAAAAAACATCAACAGGTGCGCAACATGCGAGTTGAACATGTTGAACAAAACACCTCAAGCCTGGCAAACATTGTTAAGATCAAATGCAGAAATACTGTACTTCGAGTGACCCCCGCCATGGCATTATACTGGTGAAAACCGATGGTTTCCGTCAACATCACCAAGAAAATGTATTCCTTGCATATCCTGGTTCCGTCCGGCATATATTTTTGGCTATTTTTGGCGTTCTATTCTATGTGGTATCTATTGCGGCATTCTATCTGGCTCTTTGGCATACTTTCTGACATTCTTTCTGGCATTCATTCTGACATTCTTTCTGGCATTCTATCTGGTTTATGTTCTCGCATTCTGATCATTCTATATATCTTTGGAATATGTTATATTAGACATTCCAATTGGAATGTGTTATATGACATTCTATCTACTTGAGCGGGGAAACACGAAAGGTAGAGACGGACCGAGTAGCTGTCGGGACCTTTTCTGGTGAGGGACTGTCTCCGGTGTTTCAGGATCGTGCCCCTTGGTCAATCATGGATGAAACCAACAAAGCCAGAGCGCACAAGAAGGCATAAGAAGGCTCAAGAGGAACTCCGTTGCGGTCAGATTGCGCCACACGGCTCTGCAGAGAGGCTGCATTGCGTCGACGCTCGTTTGTGTCTAGGTGTGTGAAAACAGGCGCGCGTAAAAGTCGCAATGCGTAAACGCTCGCATGTGTACCAGCTACGGTCCCACAGCTGCACGCACTGTGTCAGGATTACAGGCCTGCACGCGTTGCGTCGAAGCCGCAGTGACTCAGTGACCAACCCCCTTGTAAGGATAGTGCTGGAGGGGTGCGGCCGGTACTGCCAGGGATGGACGTCACGCTATGGTGGGTGTGCTCCACGATGGGTAAGATTTCGCCACCCTAGGGTATAAGGCTGAGTCGAATGGTGTTCCGCGACGCGAGGGGTTTCTCCACAGGGCTTTGCAGAGAGGCTGTGTTGCATCGATGCTCGTTGGTGTCGAGCAATATGGTCTGTGAACGCAGTACGCGCTGTGTCAGGCTGCCGGGTGCGCACGCGCGGCATCGAAGCTGCATTGCGCGACCTCATTGCGCAGGGTTCGTGCTGTATTGCGCAACCTCATGGCCAGCGTCGTACTGCTGTGACTGTTAAGCGCATGACTTCACCTTATGTCCAGAATTTAGTAGTGCTGGCGACGAGGGGAGGGGACGGAGGGGAGTGGAGGGGAGGGGTGAAAGAGTGACTAGGGCGTACACGGTAGAGGTGCAGACCGCTAGTGTCTTTTGCTCACGCAGAGTCTTATCCTCTATTGGTCCATTGACCCTCTCTTTGAGCCTTGAAGCAGTCAAGCATGGACACACTAGATCAGCTGTTGGAGTGGAACCCTGTACAGGTAGGCTCTACTTTTCAGCAGGCACAAGATTCATGTCCACTTCTAGCTGATTGCGTATGTCGCATACTCTTTTTCTACTGCAAGGCTAAAACAGTCCAGCTAGCTCTGACAACTTAAAAGAAAACTACGGTGCCATGTACTTACCTAATCCGGTGTGTTTCACACTTCAGAGAAGGTAATCTCATAGCTACTAATACAGTGAGGGAGCAATAGCTGACTCACCTCAAGTACAAAATCAAAGCGATAATGTACCTCGGCTGGAGACTGTACTTTTCGCAGGCGGAGATACCATGTACCGGCGCTCACTAGCTCTTTAGGGCCTGAGCTAAATCAAACTAAAAAGGGAAA